AATCGACCCATTAGTTTTTGAGTTATTTCGATACATAAAAAATACAAATATTCCTCTTTATAATATTAGTATAGATATACTGGTAGATATGGATAATTCTTAGTTATTTATATCCTTTATAAGAACTGAATTTAATTGTATCTCAGGCATTCGTATTCGAATGATTTAAAGGAATGCAGTGAATCTTGAGAAGCTGAGCTCCAGTTTTGCGGTCAGCATACCTACAGCTAAATGCTTGATGTATCAAATATGCGAGAACTAACCACATTTTTATGGTCTATTGGATATGTGAATATTCAGAGGCAATCGATACATAACTTATGTATATGTTTGACTTTAGTATTGATCAAATGTATGTAGTTTGTACAGTATGGTATAACATTTTGAACAAGATTTTTTTTTAGAGTAATATGTTTTGTAAGATTTGTTCTTTTTTATAATTTCTTTGGTCAATAGTGTTTTATTTCATTTATTTATTTATAATACAGGCATTTTATAATTCAAAAAAAAGCACGCAACGATAAAAGCACAGAAGCAATATTAAGCATTCGCAACATTCCCACGGTCATTAGCGGGATGGGCGTCAGTAAACGAATTTTCCCACGCTCCCAAAATGCCTCCGTAATGTCCTGCATTACTTGTTATCACCTGTGTCCGGACACGAACGTTGCCTGAATTTCACTGAAAAATACCATCGAACTGAAAAAACACAGAATAAACATTTTTTTTTAATTTTCATTACATTTTTTAATCTGGGTATTAATTCCCTCTCTAAAAATCAAACCAAAAATCTTATCGACCGTTGTCAAATTGTATTTCTTTATTTTTTTGTCTTCATGTTTTGATTTTCGTAAATATTAATTACATATTTAAATATAGATTACTTCTATTAATCATATTTAACTACTAGCTTTCGCCCTCGACTCCGTCCGCGTGGAATTAAAAAAAAATAAGTAGCTCACTTATTCTTCCAGACTATCCTTTACATCTATGCCAAATTTCATGGAAATCTGTTCAGCCGTTTAGGCTACAAACTCTACAAACATCCATCTATCTAAACTTTCGCATTTATAATATTAGTAAGACAAGATAACGATTTTGTTATTACACATGTCATCTTTTGAGACACGTACCTAACCTAACTAAATAGTGGTTATAATAATTAAAATTGTTTTTCAGAGAGTCCGAAACTACATAAAAACTAGAGTCGTTAGTACAAGTATATCGCAGCGACGCCAGAAACATCCGGCGTTTAAGTCAAAGCTCCTATAAACAAAGAAACAGGCTCTCACGGATGTATCAATTTAAAAAACAAGTTATGTTTTTATCTATTCAATTCATAGATTTAAACTTCCGTGAAAGTCTGTCATCAGATAATGTTTGATAATGTTTTTTAATAAACAATCATTTTTCTTTTTTATACCCGCGACTTCGTTTGTTTAGAATTTCATAACTTAGTAAATAGCCTATGTGTCCTTCTAGGCTATGATCTAAATACATCTTAGCCAAATCTCGGCAAATTTGGCGAAGATATATACTAATAAACATGTATCTATATAAACTTTCGCATCTATAATATTAGTAAGAATAGTATTATATGATCTGGAAGCACGTCAGTCGGAATCACACACAAACAATTCTTCTCCCAAAATTACTAGTCATTATTCAGTGCAATTTTCGCACTTAACTAAGTATAAGGGTTAAGCTGCCGTGGAATGTTGCGTTGGTAATTAGAAAACTAACGACATCAAGGCTTTCTTTGTTATCACTTGCACTTGCAGTTAATTGCACCATTTGGAGGAAAGATAAATAGTAAAAGGTAATTCAATGAGTAAAAACTTCGTATGAATCAATCATATTTGTATTGTAAATGTGAAATGTATGGATGGATGTTTGTTACCACCTAAGTCCAGAACAAAAAAACAAATGTCGAAATTTGGCATAGATAGATTCTAGTCTGGAAGATTACATAGGCTACATACATTTTAAAAATTACCCAAGAACGAAGTCTCGGCAATAGCTAAAGTTCATTAATGAAAGCAAAGTTTTATATTTTAGATATTTATTTCTAATAATGAAATTAAATACCGCGAAAAGTTAGATACAGACACATTTTTAAGTTTATATAAGAAGCAACGTGTTGGAAATGGAAGTTAATTAATATGAAAGTGTTGCCATGCTACAAAAATCTTAAATTACTAAGATTGCACAGACTATATAATATTGCAAGTTCAATTTGTATTGAACATCTAATATGCCAATAAAATAAGCTTTTGATGATAAAAGAAAGCTAATATAATACATGCACTAGTGCTGTAAATTTAGTATCGATAATTTTTGTAATAAAAATAATATACTTTATAAGTCGTTAGCTGTAAGCCCACAGGAGAACGGAACATTCGCATTCCTTGAATATCATGTTTTGTAGTCCCAAGATATACTTATTTATATAAAATCGAATACGTAACATCATAACAATTATCTGTAAACGTCGGTATAATTTAAGAATTAACTTTCACACCATAAACGTGTTGTTAAATTGTCGAAATTTGGTTGTATTACATCACTTTCTTTGCAACTTGTTTCTTTTGGAATTTTAGTTAAGCTGGATGTTGATATTGCTATGAGTTACGAACCATCTATGAATGACATATTGCTATCTCTATCTTTTCATACAGGATAAGAGAGAAGATTATACGTCTGTGCTTTGTTTCGACATTGGAAACCAACCAAAGTTAAGCAACCAACCGAACTCAACGGAATTTGCTTTTCCCACATTAACAAAATGATAGCTAAAAAAGATTGTTTGATTGTTAATATTATTTTTTCCAAAAAAATCTGAAAAAGAAACACGCTAAAATAATCATCGTCACCAGCCCACTATACGTCCCCACCGGGGGGCACGGAGCATGCCCTAAGTTAGGATGACTAGACCATAGTCAACCACGCTGGCCCAATGCGGGTTGGTTGACTTCACACATATCTTTGAATTTCTTCGCCGATATGTGCAAGTTGCATCACGATGTTTTCCTTCACCGTAAGAACATCGATTAAATTATGTACATATGAAAATTCGAAAATCACATTGGTACATGGCGGGATTCGAACCCAAGACCTGTAGATTACAAGTCGAGTGCTTAAACCACTGAGCCACCGACGCTAAAGTAGTGCAATAGTCAAATAGATTTTCTCTACACAGCAAAACGTTTACATTGTATACTTCAAACATTTTTAATAAAGCCACAAAATACTGGATTTTTGTCAAAGCACAAACGTTGTCAAAGCAATTTAATATTTGCCTGGACTATGCCAATATACGCTTTAAAAACCAATATACCTGTAAGCTACTGTTTTTGTTTATTGAAACAATGTACATATTAATTGGATATTGTCAGTGTTCTTTTTTAGTTAAAACTAGCTGTTGCGCGTGACTTCGTGCACGCAATATTAATATAAAATAGCCTATAACATGTCCGTCTAAGTCAGCTTCCCTTCAGTGAAAGGCCGGTCGACATTAGTCCAGCCGTTTCGGAGATTAATCGGAACAAACGCGGCCTGGGACAGACAGAAAGATTTTTTTTTAAATTATTTTCGTTATCAGCAACGCAAATAATTTTTCCGAAATCTGGGATTTTTGTTTTGATATTACAAACAGAGACTCCAATTTTATTATATGTATAGATATAATAGGATTTTTCCTTAACTAAATTGGAAGATCATGGACTTTATTCGAAACAGTGGTAATTTTCTTTGCATATACAATATTTGCCATGTCTATAACAAGTTGTCTTGTATCGTAGTTTTAATATTCCTCTTGCTGCTTTATACAAGTGATGCTTAGTTTTCAAAAATAGTAGGTAATAAGTGAGCTCTAGTGTTGCTGGAAAGTTCGATACAAGTGGATCATAAAATTCTTGTTGACTGGTTTACTAGAAGCGAATCTAAGGCGCCACTTTCATAAAACATTGTCTGTATTCTAAACAATCAGCCTTTATCTATTATGTCTATCTCAAGAGGTTTTATTTAAACATTCTCACGAGATTATTTCTTTATATTCTTCTAATTACAAAGTAAAATAGTTTAATCTCACTAATAATATAAATGGATGGATGGATGGATGGATGTTTGTTTGAGTTTGTAGTCTAAACCGTTGAACGGATTTCGATGAAATTTGGCATAGATGAAGAATATAGTCTGGAAGAACAAATAGGCTATTTTGATTTTTCCAATACCACACGGACGGAGTCGCTAGTTTACAGTACGAAAGCTAGTTTACATTAATTTTATTTTACATTGCACTAATATACTAGAAGCAATCGTCGAAATTAAATTATGTCATACTAATAATGTTAATACGAAAAATTAGATTGATGGATGGAAATTGCAGGATGAACGGATTTCGATTAAATTTGGTAAAAATAAAATCAACCTTTTACTTATTAGTACAAACAGGTAAAAAGACGATATAGTCTGGCACAACACTTTAGTTTTATTAATTCCACAGTCGCTGAAGAAAGCTAGTCCTTCGTAAAATCTAAAAGAAAAAAGCTACAAACGTAACAATACAGTCTAGTTATTAAGAGTTTAAATATCATACTCTAATTAGTATTATGAACGATATACTAATGTTTGCTACACAACAAAGATACTGTCTGGTGTGGTTTGTTCAAAACTGTGCACTACTAATGACAATCTAATTAAAACTTTGGTTGACTGAGTACAAAGTTTAAGCAACATCAATTACAAACGTTGGAATTAATATTATTCATACAAATATAAACCACAAGAACCAAGAGAAGTGTATGATTAACAGTTTTGATTGTCCTATTAAGTACGCACAAATGTAATTATGTAACGACTTCAAAGGGTGCTTAATTATGTAATAGCTGCATCTAATCTCATTATAAAATTCCTTAGGTAATCGAAATTATCAGTATAAGTTTTCATTACATAGTGATCAGGTGACAAGGACAATGTTTCGTGAATTAAAAAAAATCAGGTCAGTTACATGATTTTAATAATTAAATAACAGAATAGATTGCACATTATGTAGAGAAATAGTTTATGATACTATTTAGTCAACAATGTTCACTTTCACTTGTTCCAGAAGTTTCGATTTTGTTCTGTTGATTTTTTTATATTTCGGATTAGCTTTGACAGATCGTCTGATGCTGTTCCTCGTCATAACTCGATCGAATATTTCTTCACTGGTGTCCTCGCTGCCGTCGTCTGAGAAATGATTGTTCATACTTTCGTTTAATTTCTTCGGTTTGATCAACACAGGTTCTGTTAAACTGTCAGACAGACCTGCGTCTTCACCAGTGTTTCGTTCATCATCACTTGTGACTTTACCATTTCTGAATTGTGGCACTAAAATTCTGTTTTCTGTAAATTGTGTATCGTGATGTTTCTTTTTGTCTTCCTTCTTTTTAACTTCCCTGTTACTCGGTTTGTATTTCATAGGTGAGAAATCTACTCTGCGTAGAAATCCAATTGGGTCTGTGAATTTTCGACTGCATTTTCTAGTTGCTTTGACTTCAGCTTTTGTTTCGTTTTTGCTGTTTACCGTTTCTTCTAACGCTACACCTGAATCGGAATTGGAATCGACGATGTTTATGTCTGGAATTGAGAAGTTATGACTCAACTTTTTGTTGAGTTCTTCTATTATCTCGGCTTGTTTGCGAATTATTTCGTCTTTCTGTGTGAGTTGTACCGTGACAGATTCCATTCTTAATGCTAAGTTTATTTCATACTTTTGAAGTTCACTCGATAAGAATTCGAGCTCCTTTTTCCTATTTACTTCTAATTTTTTAACTATTTCCGATTGTTTATGGTATGCATCTTTCATTTTGATTATCTCTTGTTTATGTGTTGTTTCTAAAAATTTTATCACATTCAGTGCTTCTTGTAACGTTTTCGGTTGTGTCATGTTTTCTTTGTTATCGACGGACGCCATGTTTATCAACAAGATCTGTAACAAAGAAATTATGTTCATAAACATGTGTATAATTGGACGCATAATATAGAATAAAAAAACAGGATTAAAAAAAATAGTTTTCTTTTACAGAAAGTTGTATATAGTATTTAATCTTATAGATACAGAGGGGTAGAATTTTACTGATCAAAAAATTCAGTATTTGTACATTATTCATTCCATTTGCCAGTAAAACTGTTAATTAATCTATCACGATATTCTTAACTTTAGCTTACACATTAAGTAGAATGATGAAGAAGAGAATTTTAAGCAAACAAACTTAGTAATTCAAAATATTTAAATTACACCAGACAAGTGTTTCAAGTTACATACATAAATAACACCTGCTTTCAACATTCCGTTCCGCATCCTATCTCATTTCCCACATGCCGCAGCCCAGTGTTTACACATGTAGACTTACAGGCCGGACCAGTATTATTATAATGTCGCATTGTCTTCGATACAAACGACCTTTTCAAAAGTAAACAATCGCTTCTTTTGTCCCATACGTTATTTGTAATAATTTTCTACGTTAGTACCTCGTGTAACGTCGACTATCTTTATACAATTATTCTGTGTTTTTTAATTCCATTGTCCTATGATGATACCTAAAGAACCTAATATTGAACACGTGTATTAACCACTTTATCAAATTTATCTATGAAACAAAAGTTTTTTAACATTACGATTTTTTATCACTTTAGAATTTTTAAATGTATCTTTGTGGTTTTTATGTTTTACTTTTTAATATGTAATAATAAATTAACATTTTTAGTTCACTTTGTGATTTTTCGTCTTATAGACAAAATAAAGTTTATTTATGCTTATTTGGAATATGGTTTTGAAGTACACTCAAACTTGAACTGATCCAGTTAGTTCTGTGAATTCGACATTTCCAAGAAATATTTCAATAGTCAAACACAGAATTATTCGTAATCCAGAAAACAGAGAACAAAGTGTAAAAAGATACGTAGAAAAGATCGTAAAACAAGATTTAAGTCATTACAAATCCTTTTCAAATTAGCCGCATTATAAAAGTACAAAAGGTTGTTTTGTTTTCACGAGTTCTTTTATTTTATGATAGTCTTTATCAGATTATAGTGAAATAACATTATAACTTATCCTTCTGTTTAACACTCATAAAGTTTTATGCATAAAATAACTTCTGTTAGAGTAGCGTTTTCTTCTGAATGATATTTTGATGTAAGTTTGGTGTTTAAGTTACCCATGTGGTATTTTATAATATTTCTTACTAATTATAAATGCGAAAGTTTAGGTGGATGGACGGATGTTTGTTAGAGTTTCTAGCCTAATCTGCTAAACGGTTTTCGATGAAATTTGGCAAAGACGTACAAGATAGTCTAGAAATCACATAGACTACATAGTTTTATTTATTTTAAATTCACGTAAACGTAGTCGCGGGTAAAAGGTAGTACCAATATACATCTTATAGTATATAAGCTTTCGCCCGCGACTCCGTCGACATGGAATTATAAAAAAAAAAACAAAATTGAATAGCCTATGTGTTCTTCCAGGCTACCCTCTACATCTATACCAAATTTCATCGAGATCTGTTCAATCGTTTAGACTACAAACTCTAACAAACATCCATCCATCTAGACTTTCGCATTTATAATATTAGTAAGATAGTAAAAGTCAACCCTAGTCTTAATGCTGAACTTCTTTTGATTAATTTAATTTCGGTAAGTAGATAAGACAAAGTTTCCTAGACTAACGTCTAGCGGTAAAAAAGGGGTGTAGTCGAAATTTTAACTGTCCGTTAAACTCTACAGTTAACGTGTTATCTAAACTAGCTCAGTTTTTTCTGTAAAATTCAATTGTGCAGTTAACATTGAATGTGAAAACGACTTGGATAAGATTTTTTTATATCATTTTATTTAATGACACTGAAAATTATTATCTGCATGAATCCTTTAGTAATGTTCTTCGTAAAAGCAATATAATTGAACATGTACAAAAATAGGCATTCAACTTCCAGGACTTCCTTTGTTACGATAACCAGTTTTCAACCACTTCTCAAGTTTAGTGGGATTCGTATGAAAAGTTTTATATTTATTTTGGTATAAGGTTTTTGACAGGAATACCATTTAAGATAATTACTAGCTTTCCCCTACGATACCGTCCGAATTTAAAAAAAAAGTAAGTAGCTCTAGTGCTTCCTCACTATCTCTACATCTATGTTACTTTTTATTGAGATCTGTTGAGTAGTTTAGGCTAATAATTTTAACAAACATCTATCCATCCATCCATCTAAACTTTCGCATTTATAATATTCGTAAAATTAGCAAAATTATAATTTTTAACTAAGAGAAATAAATTTCTCACATTTAATTTCTTTATCCGAAGATAAAAAAACCCTATGGAATGGAATGATAGTTAATAAACCTATACTTTATAGAACTAAATAGATATAAATATATATAAATTTATGAATAAATTTTATTATTAAAGCGACTCTATTCGATGTCAAATTTGATTCAGAGTGAAATACTTAACAATACAAAGTATATGCAGACGTTATTAATTGGTAGAATTATAATAATTACTGGCTAGAATATTTGAAATTAAAAACAATTCACGGATAAAATAGTATTTTTATAACATTTTTCTGAAGACTAGAAACTAAAAGTACAACCGAGAAAACTATTTAAATTTGTATTTAAATTAATTTTGATTTAACAATTATTAAATCAATACCAGTTTGAATTAATTAATAAAATAAAAATAATTAATCAGAACGGTAATCGAACAAAATTCTAATATATGTTATTAGTCTAATTATTTTTCAATTAATTAAATAGATTAGAAAATAATTGCTTAATAAATGGATATTAATCAACGTAATTAAGAATTTATTAAATTAATTTAATGAATAAAATTAATTACTAACCTGTCTTGATTGATCCTTAAGACAAAGGCCACATTAAACTAATTCACTGTATAATTCACTTTAAAATTAACATCACATAACACTACCTTCGCCGGTGTTTCAATACTTACTGAACACTAAAGTGACAATAATAAATTGACTGCTCACAAGACACTTATTCTCTACCTTTTTACAAACAATACAGTGTTACTGCTGTTCAAACCAAATTCAAAGGAAAATGAACTCTATTCCGATAGCGTTAAGGTGGTTAGAGGATTATTTCAATGTAATACGCAAGGTGAATGACTCACACTAAGGGCCAGTCTACCTGGCCTGTAAGAACAGGTATTCCAGAAACTGGTTTAGGAGCTCTACGTATTGATAGCTCCTGGAATTAATTAGTTTGAAATTGCTTTTTGTTAATACATTCCTGGAATTATATTTTATGCTTCCAGGAATCGATCCCACGGTTTTAAATATATATTAGGAGATTAGATAAATTGTAGTTTTGAGATAATCTCATTATAACGAACGGTATAAGTTTGCAGTTATGTTTACATTTTAGTTCTAGAAATACTTGTTTTATTACTTTTTGTCGTAACGGAAAAATCGAAAAATAACTGGTCAATTTGTCGATTAGTCTGATATGCAATCTGCCTAATTCTTACGATTTGCCGTGGCAAAATACAAACAGTCGGTGTATACAATTTGCCGATAACATAGGTAAGAGAAATACAGCAAATAAAGCATGTTCTGGATATTCTTTTCACGTTGCAATTTTATCTAGAGAGTAAGTATAAAGTTATAATTGACGAAGTTATCTACAAAGACTATTTTTATGTGCCCTTAATTGACAATGATCAGACGTAATAAATAACAATTCTTCAATTGTTCAGAAAATCTACGAGAATACCGAGAGCTGAATTTTATGGTCGATTATTTCAATTTCAGTACAGTTTAGTCTATTATATTCCTTCTTACTAATATTAAAAATGCGAAAGATTAGATAGATGGATATTTATTAAGGTAAGTATCCTAAACTGCCAAATTCTTGACGAAATTTGACATAGACGTAGAGGATAGTCTGGTAGAACATACAGGGACGGAGTCGTGGGCGAAATCTACTTCTACTTAAATTCTAATAAAATTAAAGCACTTAAAATATTTTATGTTCTTAACATTACGTCATTTATGTACTCATTTGTTACTGCCATAGACTTTTAAATATACGGTGCAGTAATGAACAAAGCCGTATACGAGACTGCAAGTTATAGGTCATTAAAATTGCTTGAGACTGAATATAGTTCTCCTGACTGAGCAATAAAATGTTTATGATACAATAATAATGAAAGTGTATTGATTGCTATTCTAAAACTGTATATGAGAATGCATTAAAGGCTGAAGTTATTTTTATTCCTAGTGCTGTTTCTTTTTTACTCGAAGTATGCTCTTAGTATTGAAGAATCTAGTTTAAAATGAGGTTTTTTCTTTTGGAAAAAAATTGTTTAAACTCAAGAGCATTGAATCCGGGTGACTTAAAAAAAGTAAAATACTCGTAAACTAAGAATGCTAAGGAGTATTTAATTATCTATTAAACAACATTTATTTTATTAACATTTTTTTTTATAACATATGGTGGCAAACGAGCAAGAGACCACCTGAAACCGCCAAAATGGCGAACCAACCGCTGCCCATAGACATCCGCAATTTCAGATGCGTTGCCTACACTTATACGACGGAGGAGGAGACGCACATAAAGAGGATATTTCCCTTTCCCATGCATCTCCTCCACCGTCAAATCCACTTCCTCTTCCCAACCTCTCCTTATAAGAAAAGGATGGTAAAGAGAAAGGGACTTAAATTGGACCTCCGGTACCACACTCATCAGACGAAACACGGAATTGCTTCCATTTCACGCCTGTCTTCTGTGTGGTCGTGGTATTACTGGGGGCGTGCCGACCTATTCGTGCTAAGATGTTAAAGCGGGCACTACCACTGTTAGAAACATTCATATTTTTTATTCTACTATTTGTTAGTAGAATACCAAATTCTCATCAATGTCATAAACTATCTGTTTCCGGTTTGCTTCATGCGCATGAAATTGTAAAAACTTTATTTAATTGTTTACATTTGTCAAATTCTCAATTGCAAATATCAATATTCATCATCATCCACTTGCCCTTATCCCTTATGGAGGGTCGGCACAGTATGTGCTGCTCTTCCATACATCTCTATCAGCCGTCATATCTGAATCCACTCCTTTCTTAAGCATATCTTCTTTCACACAATCCATCCATACTTTCTTCGGTCTTCCTCTTCCTTTGTAGCCATCATTCAATCTCAACACTTTCTGGTTTATGTCCCCATCATTTCGTCGCATAACATGTCCATACCACGCTAACCTTTTGCTTCTCAATTTCTCCACCACTGGCGCTACTTACCAATATTACCGTTACCATAATAACCTTGCTTCCTATGTTGGTATCTTGTAGTTTATGGTCATTTTACCACATGAAGTTTTTTTTCAATTTTGCCCCCTAAGTTTACTAGCGTGAAAAAAGATAGTAGCGTGTTGAAAGTGTAGGGCTTTTTTATTAAAGAAAGAATTATTCAAAAATATGCTGTGATTGCTGACATACGCCACGAAGTGTGTGTTTACGCTTTATTATATTAGTATAGATTTAATATAGATATATAGATTCCAGATCTAGTGTAGGCATATTTATAAATACTTTCGCTAAAAAATCAACCTGATTTAGATAACTATTTTATTATCTTTTTAATTACTATTAGAATACGTAACGTTTGCGATTGTATATTTTATTTTTAAATTTAGCTAGTCACGATGACCAAATAATCAATCATTGTGAAATGTTACATTATATTTTATTATTTTTTATCTACATTTATCTACACAGTCAAGTTGGAGTGTGCATGTATGTTTGTGTATGTTATATCGAAAAAAAACTTGTTCTCGAATAACCTTACTAATCTATACGTCAATACTAATAAAGCGTAAACACACTACTTCGTGGAGTATGTCGGTAATCACAGCACATTTTTGAATAATCCTTTAATAAAAAGCCCTACACTTGTGACACACTTTAGGCTATATATTTTTACGCTATTAAACTTAGGGGGTAAATTAATTAGAAAAACATTCATGTGGGTAATGGACCATAAAGGCTGCCAACATTGATTATGGTAACGGTAATTAAGGTTATTATGGTGACGGTAATTTTGACACTTGCAGTTTTAACATTTTTATAATTTCGTGCGGATGAAGACGCACGATAACAGCTAGTTATAATATAAATGCGAAAATTTAGATTGATTTTTTTTGTGACTGAGTTGTCACTGTTTGCCTTGAAGAGGCATTTCCAGATTCACCGGGCTTGAGGTGGCCGAGCGCAGATGGCGCTTAGCCTAAACCTCTTTTATGAGTAACTAGGCTCGAGGGCTTCCTCAGGAGCCTCGGCTCAGGCCGTTACTTCGTTATTATTACCGGATTGGGAGGCCACCGAGCTCTTAGATCGCTTCGGTGGTCGCTCCATGGAGTGACTAAGCACAAGGGTCCCCGAGAGGGGACCTCGGCTTGGGCTGTCACTCAATACGCCTTTAGCATTCCGATTCAAGGGTGCCCAAAAGGGCCGAACCTCGGCTTGATCAGTTGCTGCTATCTGATTACTTTGGATTGATGTTTCTTAGAGTTTGTAGCTTCAACTGCTAGACGGATTTCAATGAAATTTTTCACAGATGTCTGGAAGAACACATAGGCTACTTCTATTGTTTTTTTAATGACACGCGGATGGAGTCGCGGGCAAAGGTGACAACATATAATTCACGTGTTTCAAAATGTTTACTACGCCTCATCCACATATATCTATACTAATATTATAAAGAGGAAAGATTTGTATTTTTGTATGTATTGAAATAACTCAAAAACTACTGGGCCGATTTTAAAAATTCTTTCACCGTCAGAATGGTAATTTATCTGTGAGTAACATAGGCTATTCAATTTTCAATTTCACGCGGGTGAAGTCGCGAGCAACAGCTAGTATTACATAAATATTTTTGTATACGAATAAATAAACTACAAATCATTAATGACAAGCAAAAACAGACTTGATACGAAATTTATGATGTTATGATTACTGTACATTTTTTTAGAATACAATTATAACTTGCTATTACAGCGAGAAGTATATCGCACAGAAGACGGGAATTGGAAGTTATTACTATATGTTTATAGTTTGTTTAAATAAGATAGATTAGTTTGACAATTCATTTGACAATTTAGTAAGGATGGGTTGTGTAAAATCAGTCATGAATCTTATCGATTTTCGATTTTTATTCTTTTAGAAGTTGGAATCGATAGATTCATAGTTAATTTGAATTAAAATTAAAAACACAGTTTCTCAAATCAATAATGACTACAGAACCAAAAGAAGTATGTGAGTTAATGTTTATTACTACTACATTTGTATATTGATTTGAATTTTGCTATTATTATTATTGTCATATCTATATTCTCTACATACATATATTTATTACTAGGATTTTCCCCTAAAATAGTCAATAATTAAATAATAATTGTAGTTAAGTTTGTAAAATTTTATTTAAACCGAATATCGATAGTACGTAATTGTTCGCTGCGTGTTTGCGTACTACGATACCTGTCTACTAAGTACGGCATTTGCCTTCATTCAAATTGAATTCGATACTTTAGATGCGTCATTTATCAAACTAATCTATCTTATTTAGACAGAGTATAGTTTGACAATTCATTTGACAGTTTAGTAGAGATGGGTCGTGTAAAATCAGGCATAAATATATCTTATTTAGACAAACTATAGTGTGGTTGCCTAACCATCCGTTCTTAAATGTCGAAAAGCATGTAGGCACAAAATAACACAGTTCAGAACCTGTTCATTTGAATGTACAGTCGTGGAAGACCGTAGTGTACCATGAAATATTGCCTTGTTACGAGACAAACTCCACCTCTTCCAAATAACTAATGAGATAGCAGTGAGTGTACGAAGGGATAATAACAAAAAGAAACTAAAAGTATATCACTAACTGACTTTATTTTCGCACAGATAGATTTTTGCTCCGCGTTCGTTTAAATATTTTCAAACGGTTGGATCTTTAAAGGTAGAACAGAGTTAGTTTCCCCGATTGTACACTGATAGAGGTAGAAACAGATAGATGTATTACGTAAACCGATAACCGTAACTAGAGCCTTCGCATTTGTTATATGGTCAGTTTCTTAGATACTTTTAATCAATCGTTAGTGTTAATGGTTAGTTCAATTCTTGAAATGTGTTTCTGAACTACATAACATGTGTTTTACTGATTTGAAAATTAGCTTAACACTAAGGATCACTAGGTTATGATAGAGTGACTGGAAACTTCAGAAACCCAGCAGAAGTAATGTTAGTTTTAAAATTTAGGAAGTTTAAGTAAGATCTGAGTGTTTTTATTTGTGTGTGTGTTTTTTTTTTAATGTTTCTCCCTACTTTTGTCTTCTAGTTGTGAGTGTAATATTAAGTACATGTTTTTTTTTCTTTTTCTATTCTGTAAAACTCCGTCTTCTGTTTTAAGATTCATTGAAAACCGGCGCTCTAGTTATTGTCTATTTTCAGTGTCACAATGAAGAAAGCAGTACTGCTAGTTGTCCTAGCGATATCTTCTATCTCCGCTCATAATATCCTATGCATCTTCCCAGCACCGTCTCGAAGCCATGCCACACTGGGTAGAGGCATCGTTAATACTTTACTACAAGCTGGACATCAGGTAAACCGTACACGTCTTTTGAAATATTTCCATAAATATTTTCTTTTTTTTTATAACATAAGGTGGCAAACAAGCAAGTGGCCACCTGAAAACGCCAAAATGGCGAAGCGACCGCTGCCCATAGACATCCGCAATTGCAGATGCGTTGCCTACCCTTATCCGACAGAGGAGGAGACGCACACAAAGAGGATATTTCCCCTTCCTATGCATCTCCTCCACTGTCAAATCCACTTCCTCTTCCCAACCTCTCCTTATAAGAAAAGGGTGGTAAAGAAAAAGGGACTTAAATTAGGCCTCCGGCACCACACTCATCAGAGGAAACACGGAATTGTTTCCTTTTCACGCCTGTCTTCTGTGTGGTCGTGGTATTACACAGGGCGTGCCGGCCCTGCAGTGCTAAGATGTTAAAGCGGGCACTACCACTGTTTCTGCCTGCATCACGCCACTACATCTAAACAAACGAATCACCAATTAAATTAGTTCACAAACATGCCAACTGTCAAAAGATCCTTGTATGTCTATACTTTAATTTGACATTGACAGCTACAGCTGACAATAGAGAGGGGACGTGCACGTCAACCTTTACTTAGGACAAGTGTTGCGCTTCACTGGTACGGTATCGGTTTTCTTAACACAATTAATATTATTTCCAGGTAACATGGGTGACAGCGTATCCAGATAAATCTAGCAACAAAAACTTAAGGCAGATTGATTTGCCTCAATCTAGAGAAATAGTAAATGGTGAGTTATTTTTATTAGTACATATAAAAATCGGTCTAACTGTTTTACGATTACCCGGAATAAACGCAGATTTATAGACAGTGTAAAAAGAACAATTGCCGGTTACTGACAAATTTTTCACATAGTTATAACTAACGCCATCTATTGATAAATCCTCAAAACTACATATCAATAACATTAATTGTATTTATTGTCTATAAAACATGTTTGAATTTCAATTTGCCTCTTTAGTTTATTTTATAACAAAAGATGTATCATAAAATGTTTTATTACTTGTAAATACAAAGACACGAAATGGGAATAAACTTGACAACTGATATAGTACCTTTCAGAGAAAGTGCCGGTGAAAAATTGCTCTTGACTATGCCTCGTCTATATATTTCTTAAATATCTTTGTTTAGCAACATGTAATATTTTTTTGCTACAAAACTCCTTTAATTTAGGGGTTAAAGTAAGGTCATTATTTTTTTTTCCAGCCATGGATGTTACTAGTGAAGGACGTATGAGCGTTTCTTTGGTGCGAGAGTTCGCAAGAAACATATCCATCGCAGCTTTAGAGTCGCCTGAACTAAGGAATGTTTTAATTAATGAGAAATTTGACGCAGTTGTCAGTGAATGGTTTTTCTCTGACGTGGAATCAGGGTAAGTGGTTATTTTATACACGTAGTATAAGGACAATATTTCTTGCAACAACTTAGCCAATTAAAAACGTGTATTTGACGGAGGAGACGCTTAGGAAGGAGGAATATCTTTACGTGCGTCTCCTTCATCGTATAAGGGGTAGGCAACGCACCTGCAATTGCGGATGTCTGGGCAGTTGTTTCGCCATTTTGACAGATTCAAGTGACCTCTTCCTCGTTTGCCACCTTATAATATAAAATTTTTCTCCAGATATGCAGCGGTCCAGCAAGTGCCTTGGATTTTATTGAGTGGTGTAGTGATGCATCCATATATGGAGTTCCTAGTCGACAGTGTGCGCTCTCTGCCAGTCACTCCCTTCATGATGAACGACTTCCCTGTGCCCATGAGTCTCTGGGATCGTCTATTTAATACCTTCAGCTTTGGCATGTTTATGTTTGGCAACTGGTAAGTAAAGCTAAATACTTTATATAAATATTCCGTCACACATTGTAACATTAATAAGTCGCAATTCAAAAAGGCTACAGACAAATGCTATAGCTGTCATTATGAACTCCAAATTCTTGCTATGCAAGAAAGATATGGTACGGCGGGAAAAAAGCCTTAGTATGTCTGGTTATGCCACTGGCTATTTCTTACTGCGAGATAGATGGCGCTAACCTCAATAAATCAACGCATCGATTGTTATGCAAATCTGGTAAATAGGCATAGTAAAAGTAACTCTCTTTAGAAGTCAGTATGTGATGAATTTCAGTGATGTTATATTTTCATTTCCAGGCAAGATAGTTCAAGAGCAGAGGCGGATTATGATAAATATTTCGCACCAATTGCGAAGGCGCGCGGTGTGCCCCTACCACCGTTGTCCATCTCACGTCATAATATCTCTATAATGTTGGTTAATTCTCACTCTTCGTTTGCGCCGGCGCAGCCCCTACCACCAAATGTGATCGAGATCGCCGGATACCATATAGAAGAGACCACACCACCGTTGCCAAAGGTACTTTCAAATGTTCAAATACATAACTTTATTATTTCACTAGCCGTTGCTCGCGACTTCGTCCGCGCGGATTAGAAATAATGAAAATAGTCTATGTTACTCAGTGAAAACGCAGCTTTTTAATAGTGAAGGAATTTTTAAAATCGGCCCAGTAGTTTTTGAGTTATTTCAATACATACAAAAATACAAATCTTTCCTTCTTATAGTTTAGACTAGCTGTTGCTCACGACTTATTCCGCATGAAATAAATAATATAGCCAATGTTACTTACAGATAAATTACCTCTGTAACGGTGATTTGTTTTAAAAACGTCCTAGTAGTTTTTGAGTTATTTCTATACTTTTAAAAGTCCAAAAATAGAAATCTTTCCTCTTTGTAATATTTCAATGTAATAATAATTTTGACGTGTTTTTAGGATTTACAAGACCTTCTAGATTCTTCTCGGAATGGCGTGGTCTACTTCAGTATGGGATCAGTTCTGAAGTCGGCTGCACTCCCAAGAAAAACAAAGCAAGAGCTGTTGAAAGTCCTGGGATCACTACCTTATACTGTACTTTGGAAATTCGAAGAGCAATTAGAAGGTCTACCTAAGAATGTACACATCAGACCTTGGATGCCGCAAGCCAGTATTTTAGGTTAGTTTGCCAAGAACGCCAAATACATAAGAAATATATTGTATTATTTTTTAAAACGGTACTTTCTCTGAAAGTTACTATTAGGTGTCGTCAGCCGTTTAAGAGGGGAAGGCCGACGATTAAGGGAGGAAGGGATACTATATTTTTTATTCCGAATAGAAAGCTTTTCGATATAAGGTCCAATTAAGAAGACTGACAATTAGATTACCTATCTATTTTTTTTTATAACATAAGGTGGCAAACGAGCGAGCGGCCACCTCAATCCGCCAAAATGGCAAAGCGACCGCTGCCCATAGACATCCGCAATTGCAGATGCGTCGCCTACCCTTATCCGACGGAAGAGGAGACGCACATAAAGAGGATATTTCCCCTTCCTATGCATATCCTCCACCGTCAAATCCACTTACTCTTCCCATCCTCTTCTTGTGAGAAAAGGGTGGTTAAGAGAAAGGGACTAAAACTAGGCCTCCGGCACCACACTCATCACACGAAACACGGAATTGCTTCCATTTGACGGCTGTCTTCTGTGTGGTCGTGGTATTACACCGGGCGTGCCGGCCTATTTGTGCTAAGGTGTTAAAGCGGATACTACCACTGTAATATCTATGTCTAGGTCCTAGGGTCTATAGGAATTAAAGGCTTTCCAGTTTCTAGATTTTTGCTTTAATTTAAATATCTATTTCAAATTTCTAGATTCTCTAGGTAAGTCTACCTGAGCTGACCCACCTTTAGAATATTCGCTGTTTGCTATTCCCCTTCTTTCATACTAAAAGACATCTATCTCTTATAATTATCTATTGAATCCTCTTATGTTTTTGTCTAGCTACCCCTGTCCCTCCCGGTTGTAAGAGATTGCTGATAGCAATATTCCCTTCTGCAAATCTTGAAGAAGCTCCGTTTTAGTATACTTAGGGCCTTAACAACCCAACGTATAAAATATATGATGGAAATATCGGATGTTATTCCCTTATCTGACAGAGACATTTTTAAGCTATCTGAGCCTCTATCAGCCAGTGGCGGAGCATGCCCTTATTGTAATATTTAGGCATAAAGTCCTAAAATATTTTTTAAAAATAATAAACACACTCATTTTTTATTTTACAGCGCATCCTAATGTAAAATTATTTATAACACACGGGGGGCTTTTAAGCACATTAGAATCATTACGGTATGGAGTGCCATTGCTCGGTGTGCCAGTGTTCGGAGACCAGCCCGGGAACGCGCTACGAGCGATGAGGTCAGGATATGCTAGGAAAGTCACCTTCTCACCAGACATGGCGCCGGAGCTGGAGAAGGAATTGAAACATATGCTAGCTGATGACAAGTAAGTTTGTCTATACTTCTATGTCGATATTTTATATTAGCTGTAACTCACGACTTCGCCTGCGTGAATTAAAAATATAATAAAAAATTATAGCTTATGATCTTCAGTGTACATTTTTAATGGCGTAAGAATTTTTGTAATCGGCCCAGTAGTTTTTGAGTTATTTCAATACATACAAAAATACAAATCTTTCCTCTTTATAATATTAGTATGGACTAGTATAATAAAGCGAAGAACACTACTTTGTTTTGTTATGTAGGATGTCAGCTATCATAGTATATATTAATGAATATTTTTTTTAATAAAAAGCCCTACACTTACGACTTAGGCTACATATTTTCACACTATCAAACTTAAGGAATAAATATTTTGAAAAACAAAACGTCACGCGGAGGAGAGAAAAACTACAAGCTAAAATCAGAAAAGAAAAGATATCCCCTTCCTATGCGTCTCCTCCACCGTCAAATTCACTTTTCCTTTCCATCCTTTCCTCTTAAGAAAAGGGTGAAAAGGGAAAAGGACTAAAGTTAAATGGCTTCCACTTCACGTCTGTCTTCTGTGCGGGTTATACCATTGTTTTTCTTGTTTTCAGATATTATAATAAAGCTAAGGAACTATCGAAGTTATTCAACAGCCGGCCAGTCACTCAGAGACAGCTCATATCTCATTATATACAGCTGGCTATCGACACTAAAGGTACAATTAAACTTTTTAATAATATCTGCATTTTGGGTAGGCAAGGACGCTCACATAAATGGAATGCCTGTCTTTTTCGTATATTTTTAACGTACAACGCCATCTATTGCATACTTGAGAAATTTAAAAATAATCTAATTCAATTTTTTATAATGTATTAAAAATATTAATTTAGATGGATGTTTGTTTTTTTAGCATAAAGTGCTGAACGAATTTCGATGTTTGTCATAGATGTAGAGGATAGCCTGGAACACAGGATACTTACTTATATGTTTTTAAATCCACGCGAATGGATTCGCGGGCATAAACTAGTACAAAAATAAATAAAAGCCTCGCTACTTCGGAGTTCGTTTATTTTGTGTATCTTTTAATTGTTTGTTTTTTTAATCTATACTATTATAATAAAGCGTAAACACACACTCCTATGTTGCCTAAGATGTCAGCAATTACAGCATATTTTTGAATAATTCCTTTTTTAATTAAAAGCCCGACACTTAGGTCACGCTTTAGGCTATATATTTTCACGCCATTAAACTTAGGGGTGTAAATATTTTGGATAAAAACCCTAATGTGGGAGAGAGACCATAAGTTACTGCCTACATCAAGGAAGCAAGGTTGCCATGGTTTGAATGTCATGTCATTTTGACTTTTGCAATTGATAATTTGACAAAAGTAAACAATAAAATAAAATCTTCCTAATTTTATGCGGATGAAGTCGCATGGGAACAGCTAGTGAATTAATATTTTTAATTTTTTTTTATTTCAGGAGCATATCATCTTCGTTCGAAAAGTCTATTATACAAATGGTACGAACTTTGGATGTTAGACCAGCTAGCGATAGTCGTCGCTATTTTACTCCTTCTGTATCTACTTCTAAAGAAGATTATAAGCGCACTAACGAAGAAGAATATAAAAGAAGTGAAAAAGAGCAAGAAGAATAAATAATTTATTTAGTTAATGAAACCCTAGAACCTAGAACTATAGTTTGTCTAAATAAGATAGATTAGTTTGATAAATGACGTATATGAAGTATCGAATTTAATTTGTATGAAGGCAAATGCCATACTTAATATACAGGTATCGTAGTGACGAAACACGCAGCGAACAATTATGAACTAACGATATTCGGTTTAATTATTATTTTCTTATTAACTAATTTAGAAGACAATTCTAGTATTGATTACAGTGTAGAGAATTTAGCGATGACAGAAATAATAGCGAAATCCAATTCGATTACGTACGGCTGTAGTAGTAATAAACATTTATTTACTCTCATTATTTGTTATGGTCATTATTAATTTGAGAAAACAGTGTTTTTTTTTAATTCATGAGTTCAACTATAAATCTATCGTATTCAATTCAATAGGAATAAAAAATCGGAAATCGATAAGATTCATGACTGATTTTACACAACCCATCCCTACTAAATTTGAAATGAATTGTCAAACTAATCTAAATTATTTAGACAAACTATTGCACTGATATTGTATTGTAACAAGCTAAGGTTAATGAAGATCTGTTCCGATAGAGGCGCGGCTGTCGCAGTTCTGTCAAAAACATGTATAACTCCACAAGGATCTTATAGCACTTTTGACATTGACAGTAAGCAATAAATTCCTAACTTCTTACGAAATTCTCCCATGTTGAAAACAATATATACATGGTAATTTTTCTTCGAAATTGAATTTCAGAATTGTCAAAATGTCGACAATCCGTGTAGTCGCTCCCTCATCCAAATAAGACGCATTCAAAACATTGTTAGTTTACAAAATTACCAACTGTTATATGATCCTTGTAGTTCTATATAATATAACATATTGGTATATGAACAATTAAATAACTAAAAAATTATGTTTTTATTATAATCGTTTCTTTAGTTCATGAACAAAAAGTAATGTTACTGTCGATATTTGCATGTAATTTTAGGTAAGTTCGTTATGGTTATTGTTTTTTTAATTAATTATTTATTTTTCCATTTATAATGTAGATCTATTTATTTTACACAGTGACACAAAAATGGCCTATTTGAAACGTTGTTACGAGATTCAAATATAGAGGTAATAGTTTTGAGATACCAATAGATGGCGCTATTTTTTGTTATGTGAAAAATGTTTCAAGTGAATTGTTAACGATGTCTCCTTATATTTTTGATACACTTTGATTGTACTTAAACTAATTGCCAATAGATGTCACTATAATATATATATAATATATTAATGTTTTTTTTATGGGATTTTTTTGTACAGAATGTAATAAAATAAAGAAATATTATTAATAATGACAAATCATTCCTGTATGTGTGTATGATAAAAAAACATTTTTATTTAAAAACTTTATTTGTATCATTGTTTAACAATAGATGGCGCTTATTATAATTTTTAAAAATGTTTTATTATATCAATGCAAGGACACTAGATGGCACTAAACTTGACAACTGACGACCGTACAGATAAAGTACCAGTGAAAAAATTTAGTTCACTGTCTCTTCACGACATTATTTAATATTAGGATTGATATATCAAGATATTGCTCCAAAGGAGTATGCATTATTTTCTTGTCAACTAGAAAATTGCCTTAATAGCCAAAATGGTAAACTGGTTTTTCAAAAGCGGTGCCACAAGGACATCTATACTTATTATAAAGAGGAAAGATTTGTATTTTTGTATGTATTGTAATAACTCATAAACTACTGGGCCAATTTTAAAAAATCTTTCACCATTAGAAAGGAAATTTATCTGTTTATATTTTAATTTCATTCGTACGAAGTCTCCACAGCTAGTAAAAGATAAAACTATTTCGAATGCAAAAGACACGAATCTTTTAGGAATTTGAAATAAAAGATTTTCGTAAATAAAACAATATATTTTAAATAATACATCACTTGTAACTAACCAACGTTTTCTTAAAACAAACATTTATAAAAGTGTTAGATATCGTTTGAAAAGTTGTAAATTATCTTCTTGTTTCTCATTTGATATCCTGTAAATCTGAACTTCATTCTGCGTCACTAACGCCTGTAAAAAAATATAGTTTAAAAACATCGAAATTACCTAACTCTAATCTTACTAATATTATAAATTTGAAAGTTTAGATGGATGTTTGTTAGAGTTTGTAGCCTAAACGACTGAACGGATCTCTATGATATTTGGCATACACGTAGAAGATAGTCTGGAATAACACATAGACTATTCGTGTTTTTTCTTAACTCTGACGGAGTCGCGGGCGAACGCTAGTGACAAAATTAAATCTAAAAAAATATTGATTCGAAGTTCGAAATTGTTGTATTTTCACTATGTTTTAGAATTATTCTCACGTAAAACAAAGTATTTTGTTCCGATGCAATACGAATATAATCTTGATTGCGAGTACCTAGACATAGAAAGAGATGGATTGTGTGAAAGGTGACATGATCAAAAAGAGAGTGATGACTGAGATGACGTATGATAGAGTTATTTGGAGGACAAAAACCTGTTGCACACTACGGGAGTAGGATAAGGATGATGAAGAGTAGGTAAATTTGTTTTTGACCGACTTCCCAAAATAAGGAGGTACTCAATTCGTCTGTATGTTTTTTTTTATGTGTGTTACGGCATAACTCCGCCGCTAGTGGACCGATTTTGATAATTCTTTTTTTATCCTAAAGGTAATGCTTGTGTTTATGTAAATTCCATTGTAACCGTCTACAGACTAAATTATTGAACCGATTTTGACGTATGAGGTGTCATACGATGTGTTTTATACCCCAAAGTGTTATAGGGTACATGATTACAAAACAAAACACATACAATGGACGTGAGAATTGAAATAAAAAACGATACTAGATTTGATTCGACATTTTTCAACATACTAATATTATATATGCAAATTTTTAGATGGATGTTTGTTAGCGTTTGTATCTAAAACTGCTGAACGAATTTTGATGAAATATATAGTAGAGGATAGTCTGGAAGAACTGGCTACTTTTATTTTTTTAATATCACTTGGACGGAATCGTGTTTTAAAGCTAGCGTCTAATTACAAAAGGAGTACATTAGAGGAAGTTTGAGAGTAGCTCTCGTAGTAGAGAAGGTTAGGAGTAAAAGGTTAGCATGGGTAACAAGTTAACAGTGGTAGTGCCCGCTTTAACATCTTAGCACTGCAGGGCCGGCACGCCCCCAGTAATACCACGACCACACAGAAGACAGGCGTGAAATGGAAGCAATTCCGTGTTTCGTCTGATGAGTGTGGTGTGGAAGGCCTAATTTAATTCCCTTTCTCTTTACCATCCTTTTCTTATAAGGAGAGGTTATAAAAGGGAAGTGGATTTGACGGTGGAGGAGATGCATAGGAAGGGGAAATATCCTCTTTATGTGCGTCTCCTCCTCCGTCGTATAAAGGTAGGCAACGCATCTGCAATTGCGGATGTCTATGGGCAGCGGTCGCCTCGCCATTTTGGCGGATTCTAGTGGCCGCTTGCTCGTTTGCCACCTTATGTTATAAAAAAAAATGGGGCATGTTATGAGGGATGAATCGCATGTTACAAGAACGTTAGTTATGAGTGTGGTACACCGGTAGAGGTAGACCTAGAGATGGATGGACTGTGTAAAAGGTGACATGATCAAGTAGGGAGTGATGACTGAGATGACGGATGATAGTTATGTGGAGGACAAAAACCTGTTGCGCCACTACGGGAGTAGGATAAGGAGATGATGATGATGATGATGTTTTTTTTTTATTTTATTACTTACCATAGTATGTCCATTAGCGACAATTTCATTGCCATCAGCGACTTTTGTAGGAGCAATATCGCTATTAGTGAGTCTCCAAGCGACGACCTCGCCCCCACCCAGTACAGCGACGATATCAAATGGATTATTACGTGGCCATACTAAAGATCTTACTGACATCTAGGGAAAAACTTCAACTTTATTCCAGTGCTGGATTAGCTATGTAGCAAGAGTAGAGATAGCATTTTAGCCGGAAAAAAACCCAAATGTGGGAAAATATAGCGGAAAAACCCGGGGAAAATTATCTAATGGGAAAATATTCGGGTTTTTTTATATTAACCATATCTAGGTAATAGTATGTACTATTATAGTGTGTCTAAATAATTTAGATTAGTTTGACAATTCATTTCAAATTTAGTAGGGATGGGTTGTGTGAAATCAGTCATGAATCTTATCGATATTCGATTTTTATTCTTATAGAAGTTGGAATCGATAGATTTATAGTTATAACTTATGAAATAAAATAAAAACACTGTTTTCTCAAATTAATAATGACCATAACAAATAATGAGAGTAAATAAATGTTTATTACTTTACAGCCGTACGTAATCGAATTGGATTTCGCTATTATTTCTGTCATCGTTAAATTCTCTACACTGTAATCAATACTAGAATTGTCCCCTAAATTAGTTAAAAAAAAAATATATTTTTAGTTGAGTTTGATAATTATTTAAACCGAATATCGATAGTTCATAATTGTTCGCTGCGTGTTTCGTAACTACGATACCTTTCTATTAAGTACGGCATTTGTCTTCATACAAATTGAATTCGATACTTCATATGCGTCATTTATCAAACTAATCTATCTTATTTAGACGAACTATCGTTCATAAAATTGACGCCTGACATTGACAGATGCGAGCTGTCATAATTAAGTTTGCACACCGGGTCAGATTTTAGACAGTTTGACAATCAATTTTTACCTTTCCTTCCTTTCCAATATAATTCAGATCTGTTGTGTTGTCCGTTTGAATACTACTGATATATCGACCTTTTGAATCAGTTTTATATTTCTCTGTTGCGGTACTATTAACATTACTGTAAAAAAAACACTAGTATGTTAAAACATACTTAATATTATGAATGCGAAAGTTTAGATGGATGTTTGTTACAGTTTGTAGCCTAAACGCCTGAACGGATTTCGTTGAAATTTGGTATAGATGTAGAGGATAGTCTGGAAGAACACATAGGCTACTTTTTATCCCGGGAATAGTTCCGGTTCCCGTAATTAGTTTTTTAATGTTTACTCGATCATTCTGCAACGGTTTAACATATGTTATTGAAATTTGGCACAGATATAAACAAAGTCTGGAGTACACATGGGATGAAGTTCATCCCCGAGAAATGTCCGGTTCCTGAGGGAGACGTAGTTTTTTGTTATTTATATAGTTCGTATGTTTTTTTAATATCACGCACGAAACAGCTAGTTCATCCATAAATGTTAGCCACCTCTAACGTTAAAAGAAAAATATAAATACCCGCAATCCAATGTTAGCAAAACTCTAAAATCTTTTATAGAACACAAATTCACTGTCCCGGAGTCTGTGCCCGCTAGCATTACTGGTAACGAATTCTGAGATATCTCTAAACATGTTATACAACATGTATCATCTGTGGAAACACAATTTCTATCATTTTACAATCATCAAAAAGTACCTTTTCTTACATCCCTCATACGTCATCTCAGTCACGCCCTTTTTGGTCATGTCACCTTTCACGATCATCAATCTTTTTCTTTTTTTTTATAATATAAGTTGGCAAACGAGCAAGCGGCCTGTATCCACTGAAACCCTTCATTGACGGAGACGCACATAAAGAGGACATTTCCCCTTCCTATGCGTCTCCTCCACCGTCAAATACACTTTTCTTTTCCTTCCTTTCCTCTTAAAAAAAGGGAGTAAAAAGCTTATACTAATACTATCTTACTCTTACTAATATTATAAATGCGAAAGTTTAGCTGGATGGATGTTAGAGTTTGTAGCCTAAACTGCTGAACGGATTTCGATGAAATTTGGTATAGATGTAGAGGATAGTCTGGACACATAGGCTACTCACTTTATTTTTTAATTCCACGCGAACGGAGCCGTGGGCGGAAGCTAGTACAATATAATTATTTAAAAAATATTTAAGCTATCATTTTCTTCATATCATATTGTCATCGAAACTAAAGATTTCTAAATAAACTAATTTTCGGATAAATCTATTGGAATGTGATATACTTTTAATTACTATTTTTGTAACAAATGATAAATGAAACTATTTAAAAAATACTTACTCGCAACACATAACCTAAAAACTTTAAAAATCCCCGTAAATCTGACACAACGTAACACTTCTCCACAATTCTTAGCTATTAAAAAGTTATCCGTATTATCTATTCTTAGTATTTTCATATCGTAACATAAAATTCCTGTTTCCCATATATTTGTCTTATTCTTTGTTTTATTACCACTGGCAACACTTTGTCTGACAGCTGACTGACGAGTTGTCAGTTTTCGTTCCAATCTTTTATTAGATATTCTCCTTTTAGAGGAATTTAAATTGAATGTTTTATTAATATTATCTATTTCGATATTTTGAACATCCAAATAATCTATCAAATGAATTGTTTGTGTTTTTTCTAACGCCATTTTCGACCAAAAAGCTTTTCCGATATCCTTATATTTCTTTCTAGATCTTTCTTGAACCACTGCGTATATTGTTAAAATACCAATACGTTGTAAAGAACATATCTAAAATAAATCATTAATCGAACTTAAAATCTTACTAATATCATAATATCGGAAATTTAGACAGATTCTTTAGAGTTTGTCTGACATAATTATAATAAAGCGTAAACACACATATCTTTGTTGCCTAAGATGTCAGCAATTACAGCATATTTTTAAATAATTCTATTTTTATAAAAAAACCCTACACTTGCATCATGCTTTAGGCTATATATTTTCACGCCATTAAAGGGGGTAAATATTTTGGATAAAAACCCTAATGTGGGAAAGAGACCTTAAGTTGCTGCCAACATCAAGGAAGCAAGGTTGTCATCATGTCATATTGACATTTGTAATTGATAATTTGACAAATGTAAACAATAAAATATATTATTTATAATTTCATGCGGATGAAGTCGCAAGAGAACAGCTAGTTTGACATAAATTTAGAGAAAAATCAGACTATGTGTTAGTCTACTACCTTTTTTGACCGACTTCCCAAAAGAAGAAGGTACTCAATTCGTTTGTATGTTTTTTTTTTATTTTATGCGGTCATCTTCATCGTGAAATCCTAATAAGATTACCTGAGCTATAATTTTCCTGCCATCATCTTTGCCGGTCATCGAAGATTCTCCAATAAATTCCAAAGCTACAATACAATCATTTACACCTCTCTCTATAATATTAACACCGCTATTTGTATAAGCACTGATTTGCATTGGTCGTGGAATCTAAAAAATAAATATTCTAAAACATTGACCATACAAGAAAGGATTAAGCAAATTGTCTCATAGAATTTCTACCACTTTTAAATTAACACTGACCTTTTCATTTTGTTTATTTTTGCTGTTCTTTAAATTCCATTCTCTGTCAATTTCCGTCTGTGTCATTCCATTGGTATCAATTTCTACCAAATTGGTAGATATTTCGTCACCGGTATCATTTATCCATGTAGCTTTTTCTGATAGATCCCATAAATGAATAGACCTATAAATATAATTAAATCACATATGTACATTTTATCGATATTATTAGGGATAAAGGAAATCGTCGAAAACCAAAAAGATGAAAACGTGTGAAGTTCAAACAAAGCCTAAAAAAAATAGAGAAAACTCATATTGTATACATGGCTGCCACTACGAAATTTCACTTTATCAATTAATTTTATAAAATCAAACAAAAAAAATGGGACCCACCTGCAAGCATCACCTTTCGGATAAAAAATGAATTATCAAAATCGGTCCACTAGCGGCGGAGTTATGCCGTAACACACATAAAAAAAAAAAAACATACAGACGAATTGAGTACCTCCTTCTTTTGGGAAGTCGGTCAAAAAGAGGTTCAAAAAAAGCTGTTTATTTTGCCAATTTTTTACTTTATCTTACTATATATATATATATATTGTAAAGAGGAAAGATTTGTATTTTTGTATGTACTGTAATAACTCAAAAACTGCTGGCGGATTTTAAAAGTTCTTTTACAATTAGGAAGGTAATTTATCTGTCAGTAACATAGGCCATTTTTTATTATTTTTTAAATTCGCGCGGACGCTGTTGACGCTGTTGCTCGCGATTTCGCCCGCATGAAATCTATACTTTTATAATAAAGCGTAAATACATATATTTGTATATATGTTGTTGTTTGTAAAACTTTCGTTTCCTCCGTCATTATTTTTGTCAACTGTGTAATTAAGTGTATGATGTTTGCCTTCTGAATGGATTAAATGACTTTATTATTATTATTATTATTATTATTATTATTATTATTATTATTATTATTATACACACTTCTTTGTTGCCTAAGATGTCAGCAGCATACATTACAGCATATTTTTGAATAATTAGTTTTTTAATAAAAACCCCTACACTTACGTCACGTTTTAGGCTATATATTTTCACGCCATTAAACTTAGGGGGTAAACACTTTGGACAAAAACCCTAATGTGGGAAAGAGACCATAAGTTGCTGCCAACATCAAGAAAGATTGCTAAGGTGTGTCATGTCATGTCATTTTGACATTTGCAATTGAGAATTTGACAATTGGAAACAAGTTTTTATAATTTCACGCGGATGAATCCGCGCGCGAACAGCTAGTTAATGATAAAAGGTAGATCCTATGTTACTCACTGATAACGTAGCTTTTTAATAATAAGATTTTTTTTAATATAGGTCCAGTAGTTTTTGAATTATTCCACTTCATACAAAAATACAAATCTTTCCTCTTTATAATACTAGTGAAGACGTGAGAAAGTGTTTTACCAGGAACATTTTACGTAATGTGCGGTTCGACTATAGATTGGAACAATATCTTACCCATCTTCCAAAGCAGCAACGATTATCCCGTCAGTACCTCCACGGAATTGACCCAAACTAACATTATCTGGGGCTATTAAAATTTTTATCGGCTCCTTTAAAATACCAGATAAATCCCATAGACAAAGAACACATTTCTGCAAATCTTTACTCTTTTCATGCACCGTTATCAATAAATTACCTTTATTTGTCGAAAAAATTACATTCAAAACTTTCAAATCCTTATAAAATATATCATTTTGAGTATTAATAGTAATATAACCTGTGCTGAAAGGGAATTTGGTACATTTCGTCAAATTAAAAATGTCAGTGTTGCCAGCATTTAAACTTAAAATATTACTAATTCGACTTTCCGTCTTTTTTAAAAACTTCTTCAATCTATTTACATTGAAATTGGTATTTTTTAGTTTATTTGTATATATTTCATGTGGCAGAATAACATCTGGACCTACTCCATCTTTTTGCTCTAAAAATATACGTAACTGGTTGTTATTGTAAACATCTATATCATATATTTTCTTATCTTCTTGTAGTAAAGGAAATTTAATAAAAAAATCATCACTAGTACTTGGTTGTACAGGCTTTTCTTTCTCAGGAATAAATTTCGAAAACTCAATCGGATGTTGAGTCCATTTATGTTGGTATAAAACCTCTTCAGTCTGCACCTCCTTAGTGATACCATCATCAAACGTCTGCACAGCCACCTGCATAGAGTTCCTACCACCGAATGTTGCCATATACAAATCGTACGGTATCGGTTGCATTTCAAACAACGTGTACGTCATTTCGTGTAGTGTTACCATACTTAAAATATCTTTCGCTCTTTGTTCCAGTTGTTGAAATATGCGCCGTTTTTTTCTATTCCTTTTCGATACTGCAAAGTCTATAAAGAGAGGCCTGAAAAAACAGATATAGTTTACAGATATATTTTAAAGGTAGTAATGAAATTTAATCCCTTTCCCTTTCCACCCTTTTCTTAAGAGGAAAGGATGAGAAGGAAAAGTGGATTTGACGGTGGAGGAGACGCATAGGAACGGGGAAATGTCATCTTTATGTGCGTATTGGATTTTGCAGGGTTACAGTGACAAACAAACTTTCGTGCCCAAACTATTTGTAACTAGCCATTTTATATTAAAAAAATTTATTAAATTCTAGTTATTTACCTGTCCAAGACATCAACATGAACAGTCTTCATACTGGAGACGCTGGACGTAGACATATCTTGGAAACCCTCATCCGTCAACGAGATTCTTTTGTCAAAATTCTCTGTAACCTCGTCTATGAGGTCTAGCGGAGTTTTCTTCTGAGCTGATCTCTGTGGGTCCCGTAGATCGAAACTGCCTATGAATAATTAAATTCTCTCTACAATTACGGTGAAATATACAACTGTCACCAAATAGCTATCATTCAGAAAAGTCATACTAATATTATAATTGCGAAAGTTTACATGGTTGTCAGTTTGTAGCCTAAACTGCTGAACGGATCTTGAAGTGTCATAAATATAGAGGATAGTCTTGAAGAACACATAGGCTACTTGCTTTTGTTTTTTTCAAATGCGATACTAACGAGGTCGCGGGCGTAAGATAGTACTTCATAAATGAAAGTTTGGATGGACGGGTTTTTTAACTGTATGTTCAAAAGTATGATTGTGTCGTAGAGGATATGCTTAAGGAGTAAATTCAGATATGACCGATAGAGATGTATGAAGCATTATCTTGTGCCGACCTTCTGTAGGGACAAGAGCAACTTGATGATGTGTTTGAAATATCAGTATTTACCTGAATCTAGCATCTTTTCTTCGTTATCTTTGACATTAATTTCTTTTGTAGCTATGTTAAAATCAGTTTCTGAATTGTGAGCATCTTCGTCAGTTGCAGAATTACCGTCGCTATGAGATTCGCTTTGATATGACTCGAAATCCGATTCATAACTTTCGAAATCATCTTCATAACTCACTTCCTCTTCACTGGATTTTTCTTTTTCTACCTACGTTTTATAAATCGTAAGTAACGAAACTAAACCTTTTATCTATACTATTATAAAGAGGAATGATTTTGTATTTTTGTATGTATAGAAATAACTAAAAAAGTACTGGGCCGATTATAAAAATTCTTCCGCCATTAAAAAGGTAATTTATCTATATTTTTTAGTTTACACGGGCGAAGTCACTTTAAGACTAACTTAAGCCCTTATTTCATAAAACGTTAAGTCTTGCGCCTTACAGTCACAACTGCAATTGTGTAATAGCCATTATATAGAAAAAGGGCCCTAAAAGTAACTTAAAAATTATTGCTGACAAACTATAAACCAGCTAGTTGTATTATTTTGTAAACTATTTTGTCTGTGGTTTGACTCAAAATGCTTACCTTTGCCTCTTCATCCTTCAAGTGTACAAAAAAAGCTTTCGGCTTCGCGCTAAGTTTCTTTGACAAATTTTTCATTTCCGCATTATTATCCACTCCATCGACTTTCAATACCTTGACCTCATTTTCATCTAATGTTCTTGTTTTTGAACGCTGTCTAAAAAATATATCCGCCATATTGGATTTTTCCTCACCGACTTTATTAGCATTGGGTATAGGTCTAACGGTACTTAAATTCGATTTCTTTGTATCAACAGACCTTTTTAAAACTGGCGAATTGACAGTTACATTTGCTGGTGCCTGGGCTTTTACTATACGTGGCGTTCTGGCTGAATGTAAATTTTTTGCCTCCATTTTTTTTTCGGCGGCCATCTTTGTTGTACTTTTTCTTACGCTGACATTTGAATTTGATTTTAAATAATCCTTCATTGGCGATACATTTTTAGCTGTATTTATTGTTGATGAAAACGCCTTTTTAGGTGCTTGTGAAACTTCGGTTTTCTTTCTAGCGTATATATCAGCTGTCGTTGTAGTTTGTAGATAATTTCTGGGCGTTGTTGCATTTTTAAGTTTTTCATCGTCAGTTTTACGTGAAGTATTTGATATGTCCATTTTAACTCTATCTTTACTCCTGATTTTCTCTACGTTTCTCCTCGAAGGGGTCTGCATTTCGAATTATTTTTTCTGGAAAGTATTTTTATGATCGAATATTTTTTATGGTCATTGTAGTTAGGGCGGGAATACACATGACAACTGAGACACTGTCACGTGCCAGTTACAGGCATGCGTAAATTTTAACTGGCAAGTAGATAACACGATATTAGATAAGTCTGAACATTTTTCACTGCGATGTGTATTCCGCCAGCAGCTGACACGTGCCAATAGTGCTGTGCTACATCGTTTTACTGGCATTTGTATTCCCGCCCTTATGGTAGTTTGGTTGAAAGAAAGGCAAGGTTAGCTTACATGCGAAGTCACCATCATAGTCATCATACTAATATTATAAATGCCAAAGTTTAGATGGATGTTTGTTAGAGTTTGTGGCCTAAACGGCTAAACGAATTTGGATGTTTGGTATAGATGTAGAGGATAGTCTGGAAGAACACATAGACTACTTTTGTTTTTTTTTTTTATTTCCACGCTCACGGAGTTGCGGGCGAAAGCTAGTTTGAAGCAATAATTGAATACAAAGAAGTTTCAATAACTTACTTCGATTACAAAAGTACGTAGCTAATCTTCGTTTACTGATAGCATAAATACTTACCAAACAATAAAACACAATTATCGTAACACATTTGTTAAAGAAAACTATTGAATTATAATTAAATATTTCACGAATCCAAATTGAAATACAATATGCGATGACTTTTATTCCGTTACCATGGTTACGGGATGAAAACAATTTTGCTATTTCAAAGGCAAGTTGGAGTTACCATAGTAAAATATAAATGCGAAACTGAACGGATCACCGACCTGTATAAAACGGACAGGCTATAAACTGTGATATTTGTCTATTCCAAGTTCATCATTTTGGCGCCGATGGTTGCGATTGATCACGGTGAAGAGTTTTCGAACAATAGGCTTAAGTAATTGTAATAGATATCAAGGAGAGGATAGTCTGGAAAAACATATCCTACTTCTTTTTTTTTAATTGCACGCGGATGGAGTCGAGGTCGAAAGCTAGTTAATTATTTCATCTTCAATGTCAAAATATGGATGGCTCCAAAGGAAGAGGAAGACCGAAGAAAGTATGGATGGATTGTGTGAAAGAGGATATGCTTAAGAAAGGAGTGGTTCCAGATATAACGGCTGATAGAGATGTATGGAAGAACAGAACATACTGTGCCGACCCTCTGTAAGGGATAAGGGCAAGTGGATGATGATGTCAATAAATTACTAATCCGATTTATATAGATTACCTGGCGTTGCATTATCTAAAACCAGGAATATACTAAACCTTTGTAAAAATATGAAACCAATTCCTTTACTCACATTAGTGATGTTACGATGAAAGCGATTGCAGCGCCCCGAAACTGTTTTATACTCTTGGTTAAAACGTGCGCATTTTTCAATAAACTATCGCACAACAGTTGTGCGATTGTCATTTGTTTCGCAGCCAATTCAACTGTTTAGTTGCACTAAAAATTGAGTAATGTTCGCATCTCCATATAAGCATAGGAATTAAAGCAAAACTTAACAATAGTCTTGGGCTTAATCGGACATCTGTAAGTGCGCACCGTACTAGTACAATTTGGAAAACGTACTAGTACACACTTTTAGTACCTTTAGTACTTCAGATTTGTGAGAACACAATAACATGAATAGAATATAACGAGGTCATAGATTACTTCACATCAAATTTTAAGCAGGGTCAAACATATGTTATTAGCGAAAATAAATTTAGTTATGAATGAATTTATCCACTTTTGATTCTTATTATCGAAGATGGATGCTTCAATCTGGCAAATATTCAATCAAATCAAACAACGAAGAGGTGAACACCGATATCGTGTAGTGTACTAAAAGTACTAAATGTCCGATTAACAGAAGCCGTTCGGTAACGTTACTTTTAGTACATCGTACGTGTACTACCCAAGACTACTGAACAGTCGTGCGATAGTTAAAGGTGTGCGCACGCTTTACTCATTTGATTCTTACAATCTAGTCAAATTAATACAATTTTCATAATGTTAATACGTTTAATTAAGCAGTGACGTAACGAAATAAAATAAATAACAAATAAAACAATACTTTAGTCATATTGAGGAAATGTACTTTCGTTTATTACAATTACTTAATTCTCAATAAATACGAAAACGGACGTATTTAATAAATACAATTGCACCGCACGGCAGCCATCTTGCCGACATACGTAACACAGATAATGTAAAAAATACACGATTCTGTCAACGCTCTCAGAAAAAGACAAAAAAAAAAGCTGTACAAGCTGTCAAATTCGGTTTCTTTCACAGATCTGGCAAAAGTGGTTTAACTTACTGAGTCTACAGATAATTTATAGAGTAGGTGAGTTTCGAAAAAAAATTGAGTAATAATAAATCACATAATTATTAGCAGAAAATATTTTTGCATTGCAAAAACAATAATAAATACTCCGCCTACTCTATCTACAAGATTATCGACAGCTGTTTTTTTACAATCCGGCAACAATCGTCGCGGGGTCTTCAACTCCTTCCTTGATTTTCCTCAAGAACATGACAGCTTCGCGGCCATCAATTAGTCTATGGTCGTATGTCAACGCGATGTACATCATTGGTCGAATCACAACTTGACCGTTCAACGCGATTGGTCGTTCGAAAATGCCATGCATACCCAAAATGGCGGACTGAGGTGGATTTATTATTGGCGTACCCATAAGAGATCCGAATACTCCACCATTACTGATAGTAAAAGTACCACCATCCATCTCTTCGATGGTCAATTTCCCCGTTCTAGCTTTCTCTGCTAAACCAGCGACCGTCAATTCGATATCAGAATATGTCATATTTTGAACATTACGAATGACGGGTACCACTAAACCTTTAGGGGTAGCTACCGCGACCGAGATATCAACGTAATCACGGTAAATAATCTCATTCCCATCAATAACCGCATTAACAACCGGTTGGTCAGTCAACGCGTTTGCCGCTGCCTTAACGAACGGCGACATAAGACCAAGTTTAACCCCATGTTTCTTAGTAAATGCGTCCAAAAACTTCTTACGGAACGCCATTATATGAGACATGTCGATTTCGTTGAAGGTAGTCAACATAGCATTGGTGTTCTGAGCATCCTTGAGACGCTGGGCGATACGTTGCCTCATCCTGTTCATCTTGACGCGCTGCTCGGTACGTGTTCCTGAGATTTCCTTACTATAGTCAGATGGTGGGACTTTAACGGTGGCTGTCTCTATCGCTTGTGCGTGTCGGATAGCTGCTACCGGGATAGAGGAGATGGGTGCAGCAGGTGGCGGTGTTTCCCTAGGTGGAGGTGGAGGTGTAGGGGTAGAAGGTGGGGGTGGAGGTGGAGGGGCAGCTGCTTGAGGCGTCGGTGTAGGCGGAGGCGGAGGCGGAGATTCCGCTTTAGGCGGCTCAGGAGCAGCCGCTGCCTTCTTAGGTGCCTCCCCAGTCACCTCCAGCCTAAACAGCTTCTGTCCAGCTTTCACCGTATCCCCGTCTTTCACATATAGTTCCTTAATTACACCATGAGTGGGTGCCATTACGGGAATAGCTGTTTTATCGGTTTCTATTTCCAGAACAACTTCATCAGCTGCCACCGCGTCTCCAACTTTCTTGTCCAGTTTAACATCACCTTCGGATACAGAGTCAGGGAAGCCTGGAGTCATAACATCCTGCTCCTCATAGAGTGGTCTGGTGAAGTGTATGGAGGCGATCTGATGGTGTGAGGCTAGAATCCTTGCTGTTGCTGGCCTTGCTTGAGACAGAGCACCAAGTGCTTTGGGCACATCGGTGATATACCGAAGGCTCTGCCCCTGTCTCCGGTATAACGTTTGTAAATGTTTCGAGCAGCGTCGCAACATTTTTTTAATGAAGCTTTACCCTGGAATTAAAAAGAAAAATTCGTGAGACATTTGTAGATGAAATTACTTAAGATACAAGGTTCAAGGTGTTGTGTAACCTTTTCAATAACAATACCGTAATAAATTTTAAAAAAGAAAAAACTATAACCTTCCAAAACAAAGTTACAATTAATATTAATGTTTATGGGTCTTTTTAACCTTACAAGATTATCAAAGTCTCTAAAGTTTAGGTAGTGTATTCTGTCTGCAATATATATCGAAATTTGTTTTGATTTGCAACTATCACTTGAAATTATCTTATCAATGTTTGTAAAAAAATCTTTTTCTCTCTGTAACTAATGACAACTTATCTGTAACTTATGATGTAACGTAGAAAGCGTAATTGTCAAGGTGTGTTACATAATCATTTATAGTGCGACTTATCTGGCTATCACTTTCATTTGTATAGGAAAATATATAAAACACTAGCTGTTCCCATGCGGCTTCATCCGCATAAAATTATATAAAAAAATATCTTATTGTTTGCATTTGTCAAATTATCAATTGCAAATGTCAAAATTACATGACATGATGTCAAACCAAGGCAACCTTGCTTCCTTTATGTTGGCAACAACTCATGGTCTCTTTCCCACATTAGGGTTTTGTATCCAAAATATTTACCCCTAAGTTTAATGGCGTGAAAATATATAGCTTAAAGCGTGTCGTAAGTATAGGGCCTTTTGTTAAAAAAAGAATTATTTAAATATATGCTGTAAATGCTGACATCTTAGGCAACAAAGAAGTGTGTGTTTACGATACATAAGCATAAAACATTAGTGGCTAGGGAGTTAAGCACTTGACTTATAATCTACAGATTCTTGATATTAAATCTGGTTAAGTACCTATGTCTTTCAATTTTAGAATAACATGTAAATTTATGTACAATTCTTAGAGTGATAGAAAACATTATAATGCACTTATATAAAAAAATTCAAAGATATCTGTGAAAGACATCTGTAAAGTCAACCCGTAGTTGACCAGCATGGTTGATTAAAAGCAAAGTCATTCAAAAAAATATTTAGAGTAGATGTTAACACTTTAATTAAAACCTTTTTCACATAATCTCACTAATCTATTATAGATCCTCAAAACCACTTTTTAATAATAATTGTATTCAAATAAATTGCCAATACGTGTCATTACGTAATATTTAAACAATTATGTTTTGTACTGTCATGATGTATGGATCTGAATGTTGGGCAGTAAAAGGGATGGATGAAAGAATACATGTGGCAGAAATGAGAATGATAAGATGGATGTGTGGGGTAACACTATTGGATAAGATACAAAATGAGTAGCCCCAGTGGTTGAGAAAATAAAAAGTAAAAGGTGAGTGTGGTATTAGCATGTTATGAGGAGGGATGAATTGCATGTAACAAAAGATGTTAGTTATGAATGTGGAGGAAGCCCGATGCGCTGACCTTTCGGGAGTATGATAAGGCAGGGGAAATGATGATGATGATGATGACACTATAGTTTATTTTATAACAAAAGATACTAACTATAATTTTGTAAAATGTTGTATTACATGTCAATACAAGTACATGAGGTGGTCAAAACTTGACTACTCATTTAGTACCTTTCAGGGAAGCTACCGATGAAAACATTTTGTTCACTATGCCTAGTCTTTTCTAAAACTCTCTGACTAAAACCTAGGTCTAGGATAACTAGTCATCGATAAGGGTAGGCTTAAGCCAGGTGGAGTCATAAGGTGACAATAGTCAGTGTTAAATCTCTTGTCGGAATGTTAAACAACAAATGTTTAATGCCTGGTACACCCTTAGCCAGTACTTAGCCAGTTGATCAACAAGCCAGGCTTGATGTAAGGTCTCACTGGCAGTTCACATTATGCCATTTGAATGCCAGCCCAGTTATAGAGCACTCTGTCCTACTATAGCCAAGTGTGTACTTTTTCACCACCATTTTGTACCAAAAATATAGTAAATAGGAATCATACCATTTTTAGCATTTTTTCTTGTCCCAAATAATTTAAACAGAACACAGATAATGATTACACTTTATAAGAGGAATTAAAAAATACTTTCTAATTCAAGTTATGGTGAGTTAAGCCATAACAAGGATGTTAACTCTCATCTTAAATTCATATTATAGCTGGTATAGATAATAATTTTATCATATTAAAATCCTTTATATACATTTTATTTTCAAACAGTAATACAAAATATTTTATTTTCTATTCACTGTAAAAGGCAGTCAAAAACATTCATTATCTGTCAATAAAGTTAATTTCAATCAATAATTATGATAGTGTAAAAAACAGAATTTAAATTATTTATTTAATTATTCTTTGATAAAGAAATTTTTATCTTTTTCATTTTTCTTTGAACATTACATAAATATCTGTAATTTTATTTTTAATTAATACGTGAAAAACAAAATAATATATCGTGTTTGTTAATGCTGGCACAAAATATGACAGAAGAATACAAGAAACGAATAAAACATGACATTTAAGTGTGACAGGTTAGAATGATTCAAGAATTTGGTAATTATTGATTAATTTAAAGAAGCAGTTTAACGAATAATTAGAATCGCAATGTAATATTGATTCAATTGATGGATTTAGATAAAACACGCTCAATGAAATCAAGGTTAGATAATAATGTAAATACAGTAAAGTTATAATAGAACAATATCCCTTACCTTTCAGATGTGGTAAACAGCTGATATGTGTGCGAGTTTTAATAATTTCAGTGAAAAAATGTTACATAAGCTCTGGTCTCATGACAGATTCGATTTCAGCAGTGTTATGAATATCGAGTCTCAATCGATTTTGTAAGATAGCATAGCCGTTGCGACACGTACGGAATAGATACTTCACTTTATTTTGAACACCGCTGCTTGTTAAAGATGTAACCCAAGTCCTACATTTATCGTAACCTGGTAAACCCTCGCCTTCACCACCCTAAAAAATCTAGATGGTGGCAGCTGTCAGTCAAGATGGTTGAGAATGAGAACATTGTGACTACGTTCGGAAATTCACTATGGTATATGTTTTAATAAACACATTTTTTAAATTAAGTGTAATTAAGTGATTCAATCTTATTAGATTTTTATTGACTTATTTGTAATTTATAGTAATTTTAAATGTAATGTAGAATTATTGATATTTTCTTTCTTTGCGAATTAATTCAGGGTATTATACATGAATATTAGCGCGTCTGTTGACGACGTTAATATTCGAAGACAGAAACTGTATTAATTACTGCTATTATCAATACAGGACAGATTCAGACTTTGGAAGAAGTGTTAAAGTTTTGACGGTTTCCAAACGAGACCTTATCTATGATAGAGCTGGGACTGTCAAAAAATCTTTGTGAGTAAACCATAGACTTACACATTTGATACCTACTTTATATCATACCAGTAAAATTGCGCTGGCCTGGCACGGATTGATTTGACTCACTGGCGCCAGTTAGCTTCTACATTATTCGAGCCTTGTTCAGCGCTACTGGCATAGGGTAAAATATGATAAGTCCTTAACTGGGATGTTGGAAGTTATTTTTTTAACAATGATTTTGTTGTAAGAATAAAAAGCCGTGTATTTTAAATAAAATTTTATTGCAATAAGCATATAAAACAAGCCATAAATTGCACAAATCACACGCACGTCACAAACTGTTGAAATAGACGCTTAGTCGGTTTGTAATTCAACAATGTTCAAAATGAGTCGATTATTCAAGACGACAATCTAAAAATAAAACTAGCAAAATCTAATTTTCTTATGTTGGCTATTGCTGTTACATTTTATTTTGACATCTTCGATATGTGCTAATATTAACAAAAAAAATATTTTAGAACAAAATAAATAAAGTCAGTGCCAACACTAGAACTATATTATATATTGCATTGTGCAAAATATTTTTGGTGAATAATACTTTGTAGAATAACTACTAAATTAAAAACCTAGTGTTTTTTAAAGTAATACAGCGAATGCAATTTCACTGTAGACTACTTTAAAAAAATTTAATGCTTGGAATATCTTAGAGAAAATTCCACATGTACGAAATATTTCGTAATATTTTCAACTTGTATTAGATTTTTATTTATCTTTTTAGAGTGATTCAAAAAGTATGTAGAGGAGACAGTTGACACTTCACTTCAAATATTTTTCACGTAACCTCTAACACTATTGATAAATCTTTAAAGCCACATGTCAATATAACCAATTGTATTTAAATTTCCACTAGGTGTTACAAAAAAATTAAATGGTTATATATTATTCTGTAACACTGTTTACTTTTTTTTTTATAACAATAGATTGAGCTTAATTTTGTAAAATGTTTTATTACGGTCAATACAGACACGAGGTACTAAACTTGACAACTGATATAGTACCTATCAGAGAAAGTACCGGTGAAAAAAAATAATCACTGTCTCCTCTATGTATTGCTATATCTTTGTTCTTCAATAATTTATGCTAAGGTCTGTGCATTAAGACTAAAATTTAAAACTATAAATAAATTTCTGTAAATAAATTTTTCATAAATAAAAGTACATTTTTTAAAACCTAGAAACAAAAAAATATTAAACAAAGCCTATATAAATAAAAACAACCAATTTCACATTTGATAGTCAAAGTAAATAAGATTATTTTACGTTTTATAGATATATAATCTATAGATGTCATCCGGAGAATAAAAGTGGGGCATAAATGTGAATAAAAGTGGGGCATAAATGCTTCTGGAGGCATTTAGTTGGGGGCAAATTCTCTCGTTGTTGTCATTTTAGTTACCTTCGGCCACGTCTTAGCTTAGGTGGAATCGTGGTCAAGGGCTGGTTTATGTTAAAAAAATACAAAAAAATACAGTAAATATGACGTAAAATGGATTCTCGATTGAAACTTGTGCATCTATAGGTTACATATCTATAGTTTAAAGTTAGTATTTTGTACTCATATTGGAAAATATCTGTGTATTAATTTTAAATTTATAAAAATAACATTTATGGTAAAATATATTGTTCGACTAAAATCAAGGAATGTACGAAAATGTATGAATTTTGATTTCTTTTATTACCTTACCTTTTAGCAAACTGGGTTAAACAGCTGCAATAAATACTGGAAAATTACGTCATCACTCGTCAATTTCAAAATGACGTTACAAATAAAACCGCCATTTCAAATGTCATAGATTATACTTTGTCAGACTAGACTGGATTTAAAAAAAATAAACTCTTTGGACAAAACAGATAATTTTCTTTTAAATTATTGCACAAAATTGTACCGCATAACGAACACACCAAAACTATAAAAAAAAACATTTCAAATACAATTCGAGTTTAGGAGCGGTTTACTCGACCTCTTTAATGGCTCGCTTTTCGACTCGACGTTGGTCATCTACCTGGAAAAATATACCATTATCTATACAAATAATAAACATTATTTACAATACAAAGGTAACCCATTAGGTATTAGGACCTGCAGCAAAACTACTAGTAGTGGAACTACTAGTCCTAGTGGCGCACCTTACATTACCCATCTTCAAGAGCCTACCAAGAGCTCGTAACATGTTGACGTCTGAGTTGCACTATAAGCTCTAGTGGTGCTACTAATCCTAGTAATGTACTAACATTATGTATATCGAGAAGTGTTTATAAATGTTGTAAACGGGTAGCTTTAAAATAACTACTAGTTCTAGTTGCGTAATTACATAAGAAATACGAGGATTCGAAAGAGTGAACAGTTATGGGCGACCATCTATCGACTACTACCACTAGTCTTAGTGGTAGTACTAATCTTAGTAATACTACTAGTCCTTTTTTAACATAAACCAGCGCTTCACCACGATTTCACCTAAACTAAGTGAAGACGCGGCCTACTAGTGGTATTAGTAGTCTTAGTATTTATAGTACTAGAAGTTAAATGGTGCACTTCCATCACACACTACGAAGATTGTAGGAAGATTTAGGGGACTAGTAGTGGCGGTGAGCGTAGATGGTCAAGGCGATCGCAACCCCCAGGAATTAGGAGACGATGCAGAGTGTTAGTGGTAATACTAGTTCTAGTGGTGTATCGTATATGTAAAAAAGGTTCCCCCTCAGAGGGGACATATATTGCACTGGTGATGATGACTACTACAACCACTACCACTACTAGTAATAGTAGTAGTACTAGTACTAATAAAATAAAATAAAAATAAATAAAATAATGTCTAATGTAATGAAAAAAAAGAAATGTTTAAAATTAGCGTTGCAATGCTGACTGGATTGGGTCCTCGCTCAGCTATAAATACTGGATGCTCCTATCGAAGTACCAGCGCTGATCTTCCGCGAGAACCCTTGCGATCATCCACACGTCAGTAGTACCAGTGGATAGGTAGAAATAATCACATACATATAAATAAAAAAAAAGAAAGTAAAAAATCGTACATAAATGTGTTATGAAAAATAAAATGTATACAAAACTACAACACAGATTAAAAGAGTCAGTATTGGAATAACACAAAAAGAATGTGTCCAAACTGTTTTAAAAGAGAGAGAAAATAATCAAGGGAAGAGATAGTACTACTAATAGTACTAGTAGTGGTAGTGGTAGTGGCAGTGTGTGCTCACCTCGGGCTCGCCGAGCAGCGTGCTGGCGAGGTAGGGCGCGCGCAGCACGCCGCGCCAGTACAGCTTCTCCAGCGGCCGGTTGACGGACCAGCCGGCGCAGCGCACGCCGCGCGCCCGCCAGTACTGCACCTCCCTACTGTTGGACAACACTTATAAGTATATAAAAACATACTGTAGTTATTAACGTATGTACAACAGTTTTACCTACGTGTGTTCAAATATCTGTAATGTGTGTATAACAGTTACCATATATACCATATATATCAGTAACCAACATGTATACAAGTTACAAAAATGTATACAACAGTAACCAACATGTATACAAGTTACAAAAATGTATACAACAGTAACCAACATATACAACAGTTACCAACATGTATACAACAGTTACCAACATGTATACAATAGTAACCAACATGTATAAAACAGTTACCAACATGTATACAACAGTAACCAACATGTATACAACAGTTACCAAGTATACATCAGTAACCAACATGTATACAACAGTTACCAAGTATACATCAGTAACCAACATATACAACAGTTACCAACATGTATACAACAGTTACCAACATGTATACAACAGTTACCAACATGTATACAACAGTTAACAAAATATATACAATAGTAACCAACATGTATACATCAGTAACCAACATGTATACAACAGTTAACAAAATATATACAATAGTAACCAACATGTATACATCAGTAACCAACATGTATACAACAGTAACCATCATATACAACAGTTACCAACATGTACAAAGGTTACTACAGTTACTAACGGGTGCACGATGTCCTTATGCAGCAGCACCGCGCTGACGCCGCACCAGCGCGCGCAGAGCCGCCACGCGCGCGCGTGCACCCAGTCCGCCAGCCGCAGCGCGCCCTGCACCACCGCGCTGCCGCCGAACCTGCACACACGATACACGATACACAAACCTCTAGCGATCGTAGGGCTGAAATTACAGACTTACTACTATTTATTAAAATAAATAAAATAATATATTCAACAGTGGTAGAGCCCGCTTTAACATCTTCTAACATCTTCCCCATTATGGGGCTCGCCCCAGCAATACCACGACCACACACAAGACAAGCGTGAAGTGGAAGCAATTCCGCGTACAGTCTGATGAGTGTGGTGCCTCAGGCATAATTTTAGTCCATTTCCCTTTCCACCCTTTTCTTAAGAGGAAAGGATGAGAAGGAAAAGTGGATTTGACTGTGGAGACGCATATGAAGGGGAAATGTCCTCTTTATGTACGTCCTCCGTCAATGAAGGGTAGGCAGCGCTGCAATTGCGGATGTTTATGTGCAGCGGTTGTTCCATTTCGGTGGATTAAGGCCGCTTGCGAGTTTGCCAACTTAAATAATAAAAAAAATAAAAAAAAGTAGGAGACATGGAATGCCGGGGCGATAGTTTCTTACCTAAGATTACTAGGTCCAGTCGCAGCGTCATAATCTTGAGCACTAAAGCAATACGGACGATAACTCATTGCGCCTACAATCTTTGGATTTTTGTGCCTAATCTGTAATAAAAAAAAAATTAAAAAGTCACTAATATAAATGCGAAAGTTATGGACGTTTGTTGTTGAAACTGCTGTATGAATATAGTTGAAAGTCATACATGTATAGTTTGGAACACAAAGGATACTTGCTTTTGTTTTTTTTAATTCCACGCAGACAATGCCGCGGACGAGAGCTAGTATTATATCCTATTACACTCAGTGATAATTTAGCTTTCTAATCATGAAAGAATTTTTGATATTGATCAAGTAGTTTTTGAGTTTATTTCTTACAAAATCAGTTAATTTTATTTAGAAGTACGAGTAAAAAGACTAATAATTTGCAACGTCACAAACCATTCATATTAAATATATACCATAAATTATCAAATACTTTTCTTGCAACATTTAACAAACTAACATTTGTAGCAAACTAAAATTTTCCCTAAACACTTACCCTATACAAAACGAAAGGATTGAAGCTTGTGACCACCGCGCGTTGGTGCAGATTCGGCTGCTCGGAGAACGCCTTCACTATACCTTGGACCACCTGAAAATATTAAAAAAATACTAATTACTACTAAAAAAAAAAAAACACTGTAAAAGGTTAAAATAAGTTCAATAGTTTAGAAAACACTTTTATAAGGGAGCAAAAGTGCAAGCAGTCAAATGAATTCGCCGAAATAGCGAAGCGACCTGGCTATAGACATATGTGACACATTCTAACAGTGGTAAAGCCCGCTTTAACATCTTCACACTCTGGGGCTCGCCCCACCAATACCACGACCACAAAGAAGACAGGCGTGAAGTGGAAGCAAGTCCGCGTTCAGTCTGATGAGTGTGGCACCACACCTAGAGTGGAGGTCTAATTTTAGTCCCCTTTCCTTTCCACACTTTTCTTAAGAAAAGATGGAAAGAAAAAGTGGATTTGACGGTGGAGGAGACATCCGCCGTCAATGAAGGGTAGGCAACGCATCTGCATTTCTTGATGTTTATGTGCAGCGGTAGCTTTCCATTTCGGTGCATTCAGGTTGCCACTTGCTCGATTGCCACCTTATATTATACTAGCTGTTGCCCGCGACTTCGTCCGCGTGGTATTAGAAAACATACAAATTTTTTGTACATCTTTGCCAAATTTCAATAAGATATGTTGAACCGTTGCAGAATGATCGAGTAAACATTAAAAATCTATAGTAATGAATCCCACGGGAACCGTAACTATTCCAGGGATAAAAAGTACCCTATGCGTTCTTCCAGACTATGCTGTAAACCTGTACCAAATTTCATTGAGATCCTTTCAGCCGTTTAGGCTACAAACGCTAACAAACATCCGTCCATCTAAACTTTCGCATTTATAATATTAGTAAGATGTATATGCTCATGTAAGTGACTGTACATCTTTTTGGGATTAAAGTCTTTAAATATTAACCCGAACTAGTATAATGTAATTAAAAAATTACCTCCTTGTCTTCACCCTTGACGTCTATGATCACTCTAACATCATTGGCCAGTAGATATTTGAGTGCATCATCCAATAAACAGAGGTGTACTTCCTTAAACTGATGCCTGTAAACAAAGAAATATATTAACTAACAACAAAGTCAAGAGAAATCTACAAAAATACCTCTTAAAAAACTAGCTTCGCGACTCCGTCCAGAATTTAAACAAAAAAAAAGAAAGTAGTCTATGTGTCTTTCCAGACTATCCTCTACATCTGAGGCATATTTTATTGAAATCTGTTCAGCTGTTTAGACTACAAATTCTAACATCCATCGAACTGAACTTTCACAGTTATAATCTCATATCTTTATTTTCTTATTTTTATATATAATATATTTCACGTAATTTAAAAAAAAAATAACAAAATAAAACATATTATATAAAAAAATAGAAGTCCACCGGCTGCGGAATCCGATGACTCAAGCAACCAGTGGTCAGGGCAGTGACAGGAACCTCCTCACTATGCGTGCGGTTTCTAAAATAACCGCCTTTTGAATCAGGCCCTTAATCCAACTGTCTAGCGAGAGCTTCTTGAAGGTGTTGGTCGAAGCTGTTCGCTATCAGCCCGTGTGCCGAAACGACTATCGGAATAATGGTAGTCGATTTCATACGCCACATGGCGGTAATCTCGTGAGCCAAATCAAAATATTTTAATAGACAGTTATAATATTAGTAAGATGTGAAAGGGATGGATGTTTTAGAATTTGTAACCTAAACTGCTAAATAAATCTTGATGAAAATTATCATATTTGTAGAGCATTATTTGAAATAACATATAGGCTATTTAGTTATTTTTTTAATTCCACTCAGACAAAATCCGAATAAAAGCCAATAAATCTATACTAATATAAAGAGGAATGATTTGTATTTTTGTATGTATTGAAATAATTAAAAACTACTGAGCCGATTTAAAAAATTCTTGCACTAATAAAAAACTACATTATCAGTGAGTAATAAAGGTTATACTGTTTTTTAATTTCACGCTGAAGATATCACAAGCAACAGCTAGTCATACTAATATTATAAATGTGAAAGTTTAGATGGATGGATGGATGTTTGTTAAAGTTTATAGTCCAAACTGCTGAACCGATTTCGATGAAATTCGGTATAGATGTAGAGGATAGTCTGGAAGAACACATAGGCTACTCACTTTCGTTTTTTTATTAATTCCACGCGGACAGTGTCGCGAACAAAATCTAGTAAATAACATATTTGTATGATTGTCGATTCTGTACCTATTTGGATGATTGGCTCCAATATCAACATTCTTAATCTCGTCCCAGTCCATGACATGGACATTGTTGATTTCAGTACCAGTCAGCCGACCCAGACCTTCATCATGGAGGAGCACCAGATGACCATCACGAGAAGATCGGACATCCAGCTCCACAAAGTTGCAATCTCTCGCTACACACTGGAATTGTTAAAAAAAAGATTCCTTTCAAATCCAAAATTATTGGTGTATTCAATCTGTATAAAGTTGCAGACATTCTGGAACATTTTAGTCCTTTTACTATGCCACCTATCTATACTATTATAATAAAGTGTAAACACACACTTCTTTGTTGCCTAAGATGTCAGCAATTACAGCAAGTTTCTGATTAATTATTTTTTTAATAAAAAGCCCTACACTTACATCATGCTTTAGACTATATTTTTACGCTATTCAAATTAGAGGGTCAATATTTTGGATAAAAACCCTAATGTGGGAAAGAGACCATAAATTACAAGCTGCCAACATCAAGGAAGCAAGGTTGTCATTTATGCATTTGAATTTTGACATTTGACAAATATAAACAATAAAATTAAGTGATTATAATTTCATGCGGATGAAGCCGCAATGGAACAGCTAGTTTTCTTATAATAGGATGGGAAGGGAAAGTGGATTTGATGGTGGAGGAATGGTTAAGGGGAATCCTCTTTATATGTCCTCTTTCTCTGTTAAGGGTGGGCAATGCATCTAAAATTGCAGATGTCTATAGAGAGCGATTGCCTTGCTTATTGCTAGAATTTAAGTGGCTGCGAGTTGTCTTTCAAGTGTGCAAGTTGGATACCAAATTGTACAATTCTTGCCTTTCACAGCCACTTCTTGCAAGAAATAGAAGAGAATAGGAATCTACCAGTCTCTTACAGTTAGATTATTTATAATTAAAAGCTTATAAAAACTACTTACGTATTTAAAAGCCTGCATAGTATTCTCCGGAGCATCTAAACTTGCCCCTCTATGAGCGATACACTTCACTACCTTTTCTGGATGTAATTCACTTTCCTTACTCCACGGGTCAGGACCAAATATCTGTTCCACATTAATAGGGTCTGCTTTCTTTAACCTTGTTATAAAATATGCCGTAACTCCGAGTATTCCGACATCGATACCGATAGGTAACACTGCATGTAAGAACAATATAAATGTGTAAATAAACGAAACAATATAATAAACACTGTGGTATATAAATTTTATAGCGGCGATGAACATATTTATATTCCTATTATCTACATTTAATGAAAATCTAAGTTATGATTTTCGAAAATAAATAAATACATTGCGGGAAGGCGGGGCCCAAACTGACAGATACGTTCCAATTCTCACTAAGTAACCTTAATTGGTTTCCTAATTTCGTAAAACGATGACGACATGCTAAACCAAACATTGAACAAAAAGGATCACTGTTAACATTTTCATAGAACGTGCTTACTTTTAATGAACATGATTCATAAGGAAAACGACTTGAGAACAAACAGAATAAGAAATCCTTTAAATAACCTATCGATATACATACTAATCAACATTCAAGGTTCAATGCAATACAAGATAAGGTAAAAAAATTACAAACATAACAAAAAAATAGCAATCACGTTTTTATGGTATAAATAAATATATCAGTTATTGATAAAACATTTTTTTAGCGATAATTGTATGGCAAGACATCGAAATCGCTTTTTTAAAGTAACATTTAACAAATATTTTTTTTAAAAGCCTTTCTCTAAATTTTGTGGTTGCTACAAATCTAGCAGATTATTATAATCTAAACGTGTTAAAGAATGGCTTAGTTTCAGAGATTCGTTTTAATTCCTTATTCTGTTTAATCTAACTATCTAACTTCTAACTAATATTATAAATGCGATAGTTTAGATGGATGGATGGATGGATAGATGTTTGTTAGAGTTTGTAGCCTAAACGGCTGAACGGATCTCGATTAAATTTGGCATAGACGTAGAGCATAGTCTGGAAGAACATAGAGGCTTTTGTTTTTTTTTTAAATCCACGCGGACGGAGTCGCGGGCGAAAGCTAGTTATAGAGTAAATCTTTAAAAATACGAGTAAATGAACGTAATGAAATATAGGAAGTGTTCTTGGATAAAATGAAACTCGATTGTCAGCACAACACATTCAATTATTTTAAGATCTTTTAAAATGCAACCTAGATTTAAAATCATCAATTTTCCACTGCAGTACAATATCAACCACGTATCAAACTATAAAGAGCGCCGTTTCCACTACTGTTAGGACGCTGGCTCCAACAAATAATGCTGTTGTCCCGCCAAGTGAAGCTGTGAATTAAAAAAAAAACTACATCCTGGCTGCATGTCTTCTAATACTTTGCCTCTACTGTTCAAAAATTGATATAAAAGCAACATTTGTTTTAAAAGCCAATGCTCGTTCAAAAACAAAATAAAACATTTTAGTTTTTAAATAAAATACAACAATCTTTTAATTTCAGTTCGACAACACAAAACGATCATTTAACGAACCAAATAAGTCTTCCAGACTAAAGATGACGTCTCTATGCAGTCTGAACCTGGGCGGCATCAGATTATAACTGGCTATGGCCTGTGGCTCCTCGTCTTCGGTCTCATTACTAATTCCAAAAAAAAACTACGTTTATGCCACTAATGATACTTACAATAATTTATCCTGATATTTTAAAACTTCAAAACTATCATTCTGGCAGACCTCTATTGACAAATGATACAACCCGTGTATGGTAATATAAGACTTGGTCGAACGCCGTATGACGCAACCGTTCATTCGCTGTTTCCTTTATAGAGTTTACAGCAAGCAACTTTTACAATCGCGGTAATCCGTGGTGTTCCAATTCAGGAAAAAATCCTTCAGAAACACAATACGAGACAAACTACGCCTCTTTCTACAAATAACTAACTAACAGTGAGTGCAAACGAAGAGAATATAATAACTAATCGTGTATCACTGGCTTTTTCGTAGAGATACATATATAAAATGCGTTGTTTTTTCCCGCGTCTCGTTTTAAAATGTTTTAACGATTGTAGCTTAAATTGGAACGCCGCCAGTTTCTTTCACTGTACGTTCTTTAGTTGTGACTTTTTTGTATTAAAAATACCAAGATGAAGTTAGAGATTTTGCTTTTCACTATACCGTGTATGACATTATACAATCGTGACAAATTAAAAAAAAAATCTTACCGAACAAGGACCTTTTTTGTGTGAGAATAGTAGTTGAGTTCAGCGCATTGGGGTGGACAAGAGCACTTTGCAAGATTTTTGGGCAGATTGATGAGTATTTCGACGTTCCTGCCGATGCAAGCCATCCCGTGCGCATCGCACACGTCGCCATCTTGTTTCAAATACAAAATGACAGTTTACCGAAATTTATATTTATTTATTTTTTAAATTTAAATATTAAAAAAAAACTCTTTTGGGATATATTTTTGTTTACAGACGAAATTTTGCTATTGATGTTTGATTTTAATTTTAATTTTATTAATTCATAAAATATGAGCGACAGTTTGAGAAAATGACGTTTGGTTGTTTGATTTATTTTTTGCAATGTCAAGTATTTTCTATTGGTTTAAAATTAAAGGAGTTTAACGATCGAAATAGTTCAACTATCATTGTTACATAATGGTTGGTTCACATTATGCCAGTACAGTTGGACAGTAACACAAAAAATGCAGGTATACAACTGGCATAATGTAGTTGCTAACTGACGCCACTGAGCTAAAGCAATGCATAAGTAATCAGTGCAACTGTCCTACTGTGCTGGCAGAATGTAAACCAGACCAAACCAGACTCTCAATTTGATGATATTTACACCTTTATTCCATGTTTATTGGTTTATTCGCTGTATAATTCAATTTTACCCTTCAAAGACCCTTTTCACTTCGCACTTATTGTGCGATCCTTTCAAATAAAAAAAAAAACAGAAGTTTTATAATACAAAAAGGCTTGTAGAACAAGCTGTTATGGAATGAATAATTAAAAAAAAATCGTATTTCACCTCCTTTGATATGGAAGTACGGCCGACATCCGCAAAACATGATTGCCATACGATTTCGACAGTGCATCTGGCATAGACCGAAACTGTACGCCTGTAAAAGAAAACCTTAGTAAATTGTAATTTAAACAACAGTTTTCATTAAATGTGCCTTTCAAATAAAAATAGCAATTCAACTAGAAAAGTTACATAGAGAGATGCCATACGGTCGGTACGCCACGCGTATACGCATTTCATTTTCTCATTTTAATTATTTATTTCTCGCTGCATATTCCCGTATACCTGAATAGCAGTGCTAAGCCATTCGTCAGGGTACCGACACCGTCTTTGCTCCGGAGTTAGTGTCTTCACGCGTGATGCTGCCTGGATTTCCACGACCTGAATAGTTTTAAATATTGTTCTCAAAAACCTCCACCCTAGTAACTACTAGGATGGAGCATTAGTTAAGTAGAGTATTACTTAGTTAAGTAAAGTATTAGTTATGCTACTTAGAAGAGAACTTAACCGACAATTATTGTTCATTCGTGCCACGTGTATAAGAATTTGCTAACATTCTTACGAGGGTAAAGAAATAATCTATACCAATATTATAAAGAGGAAAGATTTGTTTATTGTATATGATAACTCAAAATTTATTTGGCCGATTTCAAATTATTTTATCATTGAAAAAGCTACGTTATCAGTGAATAACAAAGGCTACTTTTTTACATTTCTCACGAGGGAAGTCGCAATCAAAAGTTAATTGACAACTTATAAAAAAAAAACAAACGACTTTAGACAAGTGAATTTGTGATAATACTTAATAGTTACTTATCTTATAAGTTATTTAAAGATTTACTTTATAATCTATGTGTAATTCTTCGTTAGGCATCACTTCACCCGTGGGGTTGGATATTGCTGTCGCTATGTCGAACGGCGAATGCACGAAGTACTGGGAATTTAAAAACACTATATAAATTACAAAAAGCTACGTATCCCTCGGAAACCGGACATTTCTCGGGGATGAAGCTTATCCCATGTGTACTCCAGACTTTGTTTTATATATGTGCAAAATTTCAATAAGATATGTTGTACCGTTGCAGAATGATCGAGTAAACATTAAAAAACTAAATTAATGAATCCCACGGGAACCGTAACTATTCCCGGGATAAAAAGTAGCCTATGTGTTCTTCCAGACTATGCTCTAAACCTGTGCCAAATTTCATGGAGATCCGTTCAGCCGTTTAGGCTACAAACGCTAACAAACATCCATCCATCCATCCATCTATCCATCCATCCATCTAAACTTTCGCATTTATAATATTAGTAAGATATAATGGTGTTATGACATTGGAGTGTAAGAGCGGGGGCACACTAAACTAAACTATCGCATAACTGTTGAGGAATTGTCAATTGTTTCACAGCCAATTCAACTGCTCAGTTAACAACTAAAAATCGAGTAGAGTGCCACCCCCATATAAGCTCATTGGAAAGCGAGACTGAACAGTCGTGTGCTAGTTTAGTCCCAGGTGTGCGTGCCCTGTTACCGTCACAATGCTTTTTTTGTCTAAATTTTTTAAAAAACCCTTTTTAATTATAGGTTTAAAATAACTCACTCTTGCCACGTTAGTTGCGGTATTAATTCTGACGTAGCACTGTCCACTATGGTAGTGACATTTCAGCAGCTCCTGCTGTTCCCAGTCTTCTTCTTGTCGGAGAAACTGATATTCAGCGTAGACAGAGTTGAGTGTATGACATAGACCTTCTTCAGTCATAACTGGTATCCAACGGACCTGGATATAAATGTAGTTATTGATGGATATTTTACTTCGGTGGATGCAAGTCATGAGTTCGAATACCGTACCAATATTTTCGATTTTCGAATTTCATTTGTTTCAAATATTTTTTTTAAATGCCGGCCATACCTTCTTGTTAGTCTGTGACACGGTGACTCCGAGCGACACGTTGGGATGCACAGCGCGCGCCAATTTCAATAAATCTACTTCTCTCACAGTGTCGTCGCTTTGGTATTTCCAGAAGTTTTGCAAATTAGTCCTGAATGATACATCAGCCACTTGCTCGATAAAACCATAGTAGTATTGGAATAGTTCCAAATCGGAGTATTCGGTTACGTTCCAAATTCTGCAAGTAAGTTAAATTATGTGATTTTAAAAATCAAACTTGCTACATTGAAATTTACCCCACATTCGCCATCCGTGCGAAGCTTTTCAACGTTGATAACATACTGTGTGCTATATGAAAAAATTGTCACTCTTATATTGTGAAAACAACATTGCTGGCATATTTTTCGCCGTTATCGCGCGGACACGGCGCGGCGTCGTTCATGTGACATCGACCTAACATACAAATATGGCCGGGAATACACACCAGTAAGGGGCATACATTGCATGTCATCTACTATACAGTTACAGGCCTTCCAGTTACAGGCATATGTAAACACTAACTGGCATGCAAGTATTTGTACAATATTAGTTTTTGTGGCAGCTAAGTGGATATAAGTTGAGGGAGTAGTCAAGGGACTAGGAAACTCGACAATAACACGTCTCGTTTAAGACGATTTCGTTGACATTTTACTGGCATGTGTAAACGCATTGTGCCAGTAGCTATACGTGAGGGTACGCTTTACTGGCATGTATATTTCCGCCTTAAAAGTACATCATAAAGATAGTTAACCGTCTTATTTTACCTTTCTATTTCAATCCTCGCGAACTCTGGGTTCACTCGCTCTTGGAAGCAGACAGTGATTGCGGGGTAAGTGGACCACCAGGCCCGATAGTCGCGCTGCAATGAGACCACCACAGGCTCCGAACTGTACCGTGTATACTGATTCAGGCCGCAGTAGACCGCGCCGGCGAAAGCACTCAACGTTAGTATGAACCAGAGTAACCTGGAATAGTTACTAGAATATATTAAGAGGAATTGAACGACTTGATAGCTACTGGCTAGATAGGCTGGCTACGTTTGGGTCACTATTTTCCTTAAAAATAAAAACTCATAATATTTTTTTTATAGTAGATTACGCCGCCAGCACCGTCCGTATGGAATTAAAAAAAAACTAAATAGCCTATGTGTTCTTTCAGACTATCATCTACATCTATGGCAAATTGCACTGTCCGTTAATCAGTTTTGGCTACAAACTCAAAAAAACATCTATCCACACTTTGGTATTATATTATTAACGAAGTAAGATTTACTAGGTAACCACTATAGAGTATTCATATAACTCAAAAGAGTATTTAGTCACTCATAATACAAATAAAAACATTCCACGTACTGGTGAAAAATAATTCAAAGAAAAAAAAACTGAAATAAATGTAAGGAAAACGTCAAAATTTTATTGCAAAATTATGTGAATAGAATTAAAAAAGATAATTGATTTGAACAAACCTTTCTAAAGGGTGCAAATTCGGTGTGACAGTATGCTTGAGGCCGTGTAAGGTTGTCTCTTTGCTGAATCTGGCGTAGACCGCGTAGGCCGGCGCTATGGACGACCTCATCGACTCGATATACGAGTTCGTCAAAGTTCGCCAGCTCAATATTGTGGTAAGATTCTTCTTTCTAATCATCTAATAATTTTGATGTAAATATCACGTGTGCGATTTGTCGATGGCTTTATATACTGTGTGGACAAGCACTATCGGGGTTATATGGAAGAGGAGTAATTGACAAACTTTTTCGATAATAAATTACATCATAAGACTAAAATTCCAATGTAAATATATATGTTTCAACGTCTAGGAAGACTTAAGAAATAAACATGTTAAGGTGATTGTTTTTTTGACTTTGTTTGTTCACTGTTTTTGAGAATTTTACTCTCGCGTCCACTCTATGTATTTTGTGGTGTAGTAACATACTCTATGACATTCCGGAAAAGAAGACGAATCGCATAACACCTCGTTCGTCGAAATCGGTGCAGTAGTTTATGCTCAGGCTATTACATATATAAAAACAAGCTAATATGCGCGAAAAATAACCCTCTTTGTCTTTGGTAAAAGATTTAATACACAAGGCATAGTTAGAACGTACACCTTTGTCTAAACTATTGTACACTGTTGTGTGATTGTCGATTGTTTGGCCAACTATTTAGTTGCACAACTAAAATTCGAGTAATTAGTGAGGGCATCTGCATATAAGTTCATAGGAATCAAAGCGAGACTAAAGTTGTGAGATAGTTAAGTAATGTGCGCTCGTATTACTTACAATTGACGCTGGAACGACAGAAAGCTTTAAAACAGAATGACAATACGAAGTCACAATTACAGTTATTAACTGTAACATTAAGGCTGGGAAGTTTTAAAAGCGTTTTATGTATGTCCATTATGTTTGATTTGGATGTTAACTTTGATTTGAAAGAAACAATTATATTTAAACGAGCTGTTGCCCGCAACTTTTTCCGCGTAGTATTAGAATTTTATATCTGTGCCAAATTTCAATAAGATATGTTGAACCGTTGCAGAATGATCGAGTAAACATTAAAAAACTAAATTAATGAATCCCACGGGAACCGTAACTATTCCCGGGATAAAAAGTAGCCTATGTGTTCTTCCCGACTATGCTCTAAATCTGTGCCAAATTTCATGGAGATCCGTTCAGTCGTTTAGGCTACAAACGCTAACAAACATCCATCCATCCATCCATTCATCTAAACTTTCGCATTTATAATATTAGTAAGATTGAAGACAATTTTTAGTAAAAGCATTTGATTGATATATCTTCCTGTGACTTTATGTTGCCCGCGACTTTGTATTAAAAAAAAATAGATTACATATAGTTTGAGTTCGCATGTAGGGATACTGCCCCCTACTAAGTAAGGTCCCATAATCCTAAAGTTTAGAGCAACAGCCAATCTATATTTATAGTTATATTTAAAATCGGAAAGTTTTGTACTTTTGTATGTGTCAAAATATTTCAAAAACTACTAGGTCGATTACAAAATTCTTTCACCATTAGAAAGATAATTTATCTGTGAGTGACACAGGCTATGTTTTTTTATTATTTTTTAATTTCACGCGGACGTAGTTGCGAGCAATAGCTAATCATACTTCATCATCATCACCAGCTCACTATACGTCCCCACCGAGGGGCTCGGAGCCTACCCTAAAGTTAGGGTGACTAGGCCATAGTCAACCACGCTGGCCAAGTGCGGGTTGGTTGACTTCACACATATCTTTGAATTTCTTTGCCGATATGTGCAGGCATCACGATGTTTTCCTTCACCGTAAGAACGTCGGGTAAATTATGTACTTATGAAAATTCGAAAAATCGAAAATCACATTGGTACATGGCGGGATTCGAACCCAAGACCTGTAGATTACAAGTCAAGTGTTTAAACCACTGAGCCACCGACGCTATCATAATCAATCATACTTCATACTAATATTATAAATCCGAAAAATTAGATGTATGGATGGATGGATGTTTGTTAGAGTTTGTAGCCTAAACAGCTGGACGGATTTTGATGAAATTTGGTCTGGATGTAGATGATAGCCTGGAAGAACACATGAGCTACTCTTTTTTGTTTTTAATTCCACGAAGACGGAGTCGCGGGCAAAAGCTAGTCATTAATATTTTGAATTCCTCAGATTGTGGCACTTCTAAGTATTGTGTACATGATGTACCAGTACAGGAGATTCTTCTTCAAAGGTTATTACGATAGCTTTGATGACGATGAATATGGGGACTACAGACCACGGCTGTCAAGATCTCGTTCCAGGTAATTTTATAACAACTTTAGTTTATCTCTCTGTCTTTTTTTATATTATAGGATGGCGGACGAGCAAGCGGCCACCTGAAACCGTCTAAATGGCAAAGCGAGTGCTGCCCAGACATCCGTAGATGCGATATCTACCCTTAATCGACGGAGGAGAACGCACATAAAGAGGATGTTTCCACTTCTTGAAGCGTGTCCTCTACCGTCAAATCCACCTTTCCTATCCCATCTCTCTCTCTTAAGAAAAGGGTGGAAAAGGAAAAGAACTAAAATTAGGCCTCCGGAACCACACTCATCAGACGAAATGTGGAACTGCTTCCACTTGACGCCTGTCTTCTATGTGGTCGTGGTATTGTTGGTATAGTGGTACACCGGGCGAGCCGGCCCATTCGTGCGAAGATGTTAAAACGGACTCTACACTACTTGACTAGTAGACTCCACATATTTGAGTAACTATATGTGGAGTTACTGCATCCTTTTAGTCCTCATATCTAATCTCTTTTTTAGATCTTACTCAAGATCAAGGTCCAGACCTAGATCGACGAGTAGTTACAGAAACTATAAATTGGACGACAATAAAAATACACGACGCGGCAGGAAATCTCAAAGACGCGGTCATGCTTATAATGATTGAATCGTTTTGTTTTTTTTTTTTTTAAATTAATAGTCTACATTTATAGTCTACGAATAATGTTTTGACAATAAATAAAATCGATTTCCTACAAATTGTTTCTCATTTCAAGGCTATTTTTTTAACTTGCACGTATTATAAATATTATAAAGGGCAAGAGAAATTATTAATTTTATTCATGAAAGCGATATATAGTTCTTACCACCTACAAAACCAACGGCAGCCATCAGGGCCAAGATGACCAATCATTCAAAACGTACAAGGAGAAGCATAGTTTTTTTTATATTACAAGGTGGCAAACGAGCAAGTGGCCACCTAAATCCGCCGAAATGGAGAAACGACCGCTGCCATAGACATCCGCAATTGCAGATGCGTTACCTACCCTTAATCGATGGAGGACGCGCACATAACCAAACCAAATCCACTTTCACTTCCCATCCTTTCATAGTTGAGACTTAACATTTTTCTTCACCATAGTGGTCACTAAATCATATATAAATAGTTATTTTGTAGCACTATTTAGTTTATTTTATAACAAAAGATGGAGGCTCCATCAAAGAAGTTACCAGAGAAAAATTGTTGTTCAACGTGCCCTATCTGTATATTTCGTAAATGTCGTTGGTCGTTGTTTCCAAAATAACCGCAAAAAATATCTCGTCTTTTTAGCCTGTCCATTTAAAGACGTCAGTGTTCAACCATCAACTGTCAAGATAATCTTTATTTTCATCAATGTCCACTCAAATAAAATTGTGAACTGCAGATCAGTGACAAATGATTTAGGATCAACTCACAGTTCGAATGGGTGAAACTGATCAGTAAAACAGCTATCAGCTCAGTTCAATTTATATTTGTACCAGCCATGGAAGTATTAAGTACTACGTAGTACTAAGAAGTAATTCCATGGTATCTGCAAAGAGGCACGATTTGTGTGAACTGTGAGTCACTTAGGGTGAGTTGCATCAAATCGCCGGTTATCGTAAAAGTTATAGTTATAGTTAATAGGGTTACAAATGCAAAAACATATTCTCACAGAGGTTTTATGTGTTTTTCGTTTTTACAATGGAAACATTTAAACCTGAATGTCACTAAAGTGTCAAGTTGGTGTCAAGAATGACATTTACGTAAATTAAAATGTTTGGAAATTCATGTTTCGCCGTATATATTTATGTATCATACGCATGGTATTTTATAGTGACATAAACTTTTTGCCCACGGAGATGGAGAAAATGGCAAACTCTTGTGAAAATAAACTAGTTTGGGCCATTATTGAAACTGTATTTACTTTACTACTCAAATATGTAGCAAAAATGAAACAATAAAATTATACAAATATAAATGCATCTTATTTATTTTCCATATTATAAATTGTCCTCTCAATGCATATTATAAATTGTCCTTTTATGGAGGACATTTTTTTTAAATAAGAGAAAAGGAACAAGCGCTGTTGCTATGGCCTTAGACACTCGAAATTTGTCCAAACTGAATGATTGGCCAAATTTCGAGTTCCATCTTGGAAATCCATTATTCCCGAGCACGCAAGACTTTATTCTTCTGGATTACGTATAGGATAATAGTAGAGATTTTCTTTTTCCATTACTTTTTCCATTATTTGTACTTTTGAAGATAAGAGCTTGTGACAGTTGACACTACCGAACTGACACTAACCGTAACGCTAATTATAACCGCCCAAAATCGGGCGGTTATGATTAGTGTCATATATGACGTCATTTTGACCAGCGCAAAACTGGTGTAGCGAATATCATGAACATCCGTAGACGTAACCATCGTGAATGTGCTGGTTAAGGTTTATAGTTAGTTAATGTAACTCACCCTTAGTAAATTTTAAGGTTATTCCAAATATTACCGTTACAAATAATTTTAACTTTAACGGTAACCGGCGATATGGTGCAACTCACCCTTAGTTAGATATATGTAAATCTCGTTGATCAGTGAGCTGCTAATGTAGTTGTTGAGACGCAGCTCAACTGTTCAAGCTGATCTGTTGAACTTCAGAGCTGATTTAAAACGTCTATATACTGAATACTGACAGCCACTGTCAACTGTCAGTATCAACAAATAATTGCCTTATTCAAAACTAAAGTTTGTGTTGTTTATTTTTGTTTTTAACTCAAGCTTAAGGTTTATTTTATTGAAGCAGTTGATTTTAAATTCAGTATTACAGTTTGTATTTTGTTAATAATAAATGTTCAATAAGTATAGTTCTGTTTAAGATTGTTTTAATTTTAAAAATGGGCGACGAATCTTGTGATGTTGTTTTTCTTGGATCAGATGGGTCCCAAACTTTTGTAGAATATCCTGGTATGTTAAAATTTTATATGAAAATAATTAGATACTGCATCTTCACATCCTGTTGGTCACAGATTTTTTATTTGAGATTATTATTTATTTTCAGATAGGCCAATAATAAAGCTATTTGAAAAACTGATAGGCAACGATACGAAACAAAACACAGTATTAACCAACGCACAAATTATAAATATACTACACAAGGAGTTTGGTATTGAAGTTGAGAAAGTAACTTTTTTAGAAATAGAAATAATGATAAACATAATAAAGAAATATCTCAAAGATTGGCCGGGATGGGATAAATTTGAAAAGGACCTACAGAATTTGGAGACTCAAAAAGAAAATAAAAATGTAAAGACTATTATAGAAGTAAATTGTTTAGAACTTAAGGATTATTTACAAAGTAATTTGAACATAGCTAAATTATTATTAGACCCATATTTAAATAGACTTCCTCATAAAGAGAAAGGTAATTTAAATGGTCAGAAAACAACCGATGATGAAAAAATTATAATGGAAGTGTGCTCTACTAAAAATCAATTAAATAATTTAATACTAAGACATCCAAAACACAGTAATCATATCTTCAACACAGAAGAGCCGCGATTCCAAAACTGTCTAATAATGCCTTTAAAGGCAATGTTACATTGGGGAGGAATTAATATCATTGTCAAACTAGCATGGTCTTCAACAGAAATGCTTTCATTTCGATATGAAAATCGACATAAATCTAAATTCACTCTTGTTAATAAAAAACTTCCAAATCAAACAAATAAGACTGAACATGTAACTAAGTGGCAAATGAAATGTAAAAATCAAAATAAAGTAAACATATCTGTAAAAGATTTGTTAAATATAATTCATACTTATTCAGAAAATAGAATTATTTCATGGCAAAGTATATTTCAAATTATTTACGATGATTTAAAAATATTAACTAAAGATATGCCTTCATATATCGACTTGCCGGTTGAATTTAGAAAACATTTAAGTAAATATAGTTATGTAAGATATATGTACAAAGAAGTGACAGACTCTATAGCAGTGAATGGTGAAAATTATGATTTGCAATTAGAAGAGATGGTAACACCAATATGTTATTTGCATATAGATCTACACAAGGCTAAAAGTCTAAAAGAGTATTTTAGTATAGAATGTGATATTTGCAAGATGGAATTGAAAGGGAAAGATATAAAATACTTAATTGATGAACATTTTACAACATACCATATTGCGGAGCCAGACTTGCAATGTGTCAATTGTAATACACAAATATCTGCTAGAGAACTAGCAAATATGAACTGGCAACACAACTGTCCATCTTAGACCAAATGAATACGAAAGTTTGGAATTTGGATGGATGCTTGTTAGATGTCTTTAAAAAGTTGAAGACATCTCAATGAATGCTTCAGTAACATTGACTAATCATTTTCATAAAATAGCGCGTATGCGCGAAAATGTTGAATATTGTTTATTGAAGTTCAATTAAATAAACAAATTACTTGGATATATGTTTTTATCACTTTCCTTTCTATGCCCCTTTCTTTTTCTACTTAAGAAAAGCACTAAAATGTTTAGACGTAGTCGATAATAATATAAAAAGGCGCGAATAAGTAACCGAGTTGGAACTCGCATCGTTACAACAATCGATACTTCAACGTGTCTCTATGGCGTTTTTAAAACAAAATAAAATTACCTATGGCTCTTTGTTTTGTCTGTTTGTGTCAAATGTCAAATATTTCTATCATTAGACTTTGTCAATACAAGTAAAATACGCTCGTTTATACTGTTAACGCGATATTTTCGCATGTGCAGAAGCAGGAATTGTTAAGAGTATACTTTAATGACAATAAAAAACGTAAGTATCTTTGTACCTACATTATGAAGATAAAGCTTTATATTTTCAAACAGTATGTCAATAGGCGCTTAGCGAAAGCTTTTATGTTAATGTAATTTAATTAAATAACAACATCGCAATCCTCGTTCTATTTAAGTAATCGTCATAATTCGTGAGCTTCTATGACTTAAAATACAATTAACATAGAGGTAATGTCGTCGCCATTCGATAAGGGGACTAGAAGGAAAGCTCTTTTCTTTATTTAAAACGAGCTGTTGCCCGCAACTTCGTCCGCGTGGTATTAGAAAACATACGAACTATATAAATTACAAAAAGCTACGTCTCCCTCGGGAACCGGACTTTTCTTGGGGATGAAGCTTATCCCATGAGTACTCCAGACTTTGTTTTATATCTGTGCCAAATTTCAATAAGATATATTGAGCCGTTGCAGAACAATCGGGTAAACATTAAAAAACTAAATTAATGAATCCCACGGGAACCGTAACTATTCCCGGGATAAAAAGTAGCCTATGTTTTCTTCCCGACTATGCTTTAAACCTATGCCAAATTTCATGGAGATCCGTTCAGCTGTTTAGGCTACAAACGCTAACAAACATCCATCTAAACTTTCACATTTATAATATTAGTAAGATAATATGCTATAACTTGTGGTTAAAGTTTAGAATAAGTCATAAAATCCTAAATGTTGTCAAATCCAGTAATTCATTTATTTAAATCATGATATTTATTATAATTTCAAATAGTTATTTTAATCTATAATAGTCAAACCAAATAAAAAATCTAAGCAATGCACAATATTCTTTAAAATCATAACCGTTAAAATTATAATAATCATAATATCATAATCATTATTATAATATATTATAAATAATCCCAAATAGGGTTGGCGACAGGCAGGCGGCCGGCCGCAAAAAATAGTGCCGAATCTAAAGGTTTTTGAGACCCGAAAAACAAAAAGGGAGTGATGACTGAGATGACGTATGATAGAGTTATGTGGAGGACAAAAACCTGTTGCGCCGACCCTACGGGAGTAGGATAAGGAGATGATGATGATGATGAACCGTTAAAATTATACCAAATATATGTTACAGAAAATGATGTCAATGGGATTCAATTATATCAGAAGAGGAAGATATTAATGTAAGAAAATGGCAACTGCCGAGAATTATTGTGAGCCAGGTAGATATAATTTTTAAAATTATTTACAGTCAAAGAATTAAATTCCCTTCCCACATAGCAGTCAGTGGATGGCATTATAGAAGCTCTATATCCAGCACTGGACAGATGCTGATGAAAATGATACCATATTTGTTTATGTATATTGTTTGCCACCTCATATTATAAAAAAAAAATTCAATCTAATAATTGAAATGTGAGTTATCTATAGCTATACTAACATAAAGAGGAATGATTTGTATTTTAAAATTTTAGTATGTACTGAAATAACTGAAAAAGTACTTGGACCGATTTCAAAAATTCTTGCACCATTAAAAAGCTGTTATCACTGAGTAACATAGGCAATTTTTTTAATTTCTCGCCGGTGAAGTCGCGAGCAACAGCTAGTCAATTGTAAATATGTGCTGAAAAATAAGATTTAGTATAAATTAGCTGTTAGTAAATTAAAAAAAAAAATAAAAAGAATAACTTATGTTCTTCACTAACAATGTGCATTTTTAATTAGTTTTTTAATGGTAAAAGAATATTTGAAATTGGCCTTGTAGTTTTTAAGTTTTTTTGATACATACAGAAATACAGTTTTTTTCTCTTTATAGTACTAGTATACATAGACTAGCTTTCGTCCGCGAGTCTGTCTGTATGGCATAAAAAAAAACCATGAAGCCTATGTGTTCTCCCAGACTTGCTTTACATCTATGCTACATTTTATCCATATCCATTCAGCTGCTTAGGCAACAAACATCCATCCATCCATCTAAACTTTCGCATTTATAATATTAGTAAGAAGTAAGATTAGTTTTAGATTTTTAAATGTAACTTATTTTATATTTGTAATTTTTACAGAAGGCCCAATTATTGAATTATTAAAAACACTTGCCTCTCGTGATTTAAAAGAAATGGCCATCATATCAGACTCTAAACTGATTGAAATATTAAAAAAAGACTTCTATATGGATACAACAGTATTACACAAGTTCGAAATGGATGTGTATGTCAATGTTTTAAAGGAACATATAAAAAAATGGCCAGGATGGGATAATTGTGATCGAAATATCAATAGAATAAAAACTATAAAAGACAAAGCGGCTGTTGCAATGATTTTAAAAAAGGAATATGTTAAATTAAAAGAGTATTTACAGCATTTATTAAATGTAACACAGGAACTGGCCGCTGATAAAGTTTCAGAATTAAAAGAAAAGGAGAATTTGAAAAAAGAACAAATAGTGATGGAAGTGTTCGCATCACGACAACAAATGAATAATCTATTCTATCGATATCCTGTACGAAATAATATATTCAATATAAATGTTAAAAGACGGAAACTAAATATGCAAAATACTACTCTAAAATCTATTTTAAATTGGTATGGTGTAGAAATAACAATAAAAGTACCAATGAATGACAAATGGCTTGTTTTTGAACGTCGTAATTCGCACAAATTACGACACGCATTAATGAATAAGAAATTAAGTTTTAATATGCATAAAAATATAAAATTAGACCAGAATGCTTTAGTGAAGTTGCCAGAACATTCCATAAAAATATTAAAATCGCAGATGTTAAAAATTTTTGACAAAGCTATTTATGAAAATCCAGATTATAAATATATATTACCTATCATAGAGTATGATTTAGTTAAACTACCTAAAACATTAAATATTCCTTTTAGTTTAAGAAGATATACAAGTAAATATAGTTTTATAAGATATTTATATAGTGATGTGCCATTAGAAGATAATTTAATGAAATATGATATACAATTAGAGGAAATAATATCACCTATGTGTGAATTTAATATAGATTTTTCAGATTTAAATGATTCCTTTACTTTAGATAATCCTATTAAAGTTATTTGTACGGAATGTGATGTGACGTTTACAAACGATTTTATGTCGGAACTTTTGAATCATTTTAAGAATAAACATTATGAAGACCCAGATTGGATTTGTATGAATTGTAAAAAGGTATGTCCAGTTAAATCATTAACGAATTCTGGTTGGAATCATGCATGTGAATTGGTCTAGTTGTCGCCATTTAGTCGAAATTCAACATTGTCTTACAAGTATTATAAATGCGGTCGCCATTTAGTCGAAATTCAACATTGTCTTACTAGTATTATAAATGAGGTCGCCATTTAGTCGAAATTCAACATTGTCTTACTAATATTATAAGTGAGGTCGCCATTTAGTCGAAATTCAACATTGTCTTACTAATATTATAAATGCGGTCGCCATTTAGTCGAAATTCAACATTGTCTGAATTAGGCCTCCGGCACCTCACTTATCAGAGTTTGCGCGTAATTTCTCCCACTTGACGCTTGTCTTCTGTGTGGTCGTGGTATTGAAGCGAGCCCCAGAGTGGGGAAAATGTTAAAGCGGGCTATACCACTAAAAATGGATGGATGTTTTTTACTCTGTATAAGATAAGACAGTTAACAGATCTCAATTTTGTCAGACGTCGAGTAGACAATACTGTAAAAACACATAGAATGCTAAGTTTTTTTTTAAAACTCTACGCAAACAAGGCCGCGGCTAAAAGCTATGATATATGTAATAACTTATTCTGTAATTAGCCTCTTCAGTACATTTTTACTTTTTATAGTTTTTTTTAAATTAGTATTCATGTAATATTATTTTAAATTTTATTCTTTTTGTAAACATTTTACCAGTCTTCAATAAATTCTCATAATGTTTGGGAGGACATTTCCCCTTCCTATGCATCTCCACCATCAAATCCACTTTAACTTCCCATCCTTCCCTCATAAGAAAAGGATGGAAAGGTAAAGGGATTATAATTAGGCCTCTGGCACCTCATCTGACTCTCACTCATCAGACTCATCAGACTGTACGTGGAATTGCTTCCACTTCACGCTTGTTTTCTGTATGGTCGTGGTATTATTGGGGGCGAGCCGGCTCATTCGTGCCAAGATGTTAAAGCGGGCTCTACCACTGTTCAATTACCTGCAACCTAATTGGTTATTTGTAAGAGTACTTTGTCTCGTTCCAAGGAACAAGGTAATCCGCTACTGTACATATTTTAAGGATTTCTTAACCAATGAAATTAATATTGTTTTTTTATGTATTTACATTTGTATTTTTTTTACCTTTATCATGATGTTGGATTTATTTAAAAAGTTTAGAAATAAATGTCTAGGATTAAGTCATGAATAAAACGCGTTAAGTCGTTGCTTTTTTTATTCCTTTACTGTTTTATAAGTTCCCTTAAATATTAAATAGTATTTGTACTGAAGTTTATATAAAAAATGTTCCATGATTATGTGTGAAGTTAACAATGCAATGTGACTTTCACTTAATAAGTTAGAAAAAATAACTAAAGTCAACTAAATCTGTATAGTGGGACAAACTTAACTGGCCAGGTGGCACCATGGTGGTTGTTGATAGAAAACATGTACAACATATATAGGCATAAAATAAGACCAGAGGACCAAGGTGAGAGTCAAAATGGCGGGTGTACCATCGAAAATTGTACCTTCTCTAGAACGTAATTATAACGAAATTAAGTTACACCCGCCATATTGACGTCAATATAGCGTCTGTAATTTCGTTATAATTACGTTTTAGAGAAGGTACAATTTATTTTGAGCGAGGTACTAAATAGTACATTTTAGGCACTTTTTTTTAGTAAGTGGTATAATTTAATTTGCGATGGTACACCCGCCATTTTGACTCTCACGGACAAGCACGAAATTTTATAAGAAAATATTTGTAGCTATATCGACAAAAATTCTGTGATTTGTCCAAAATGCCCTATCGGGCATAAATACCGACAATTCTCTAAGAAATGTTATGATTGATTTCTCGCAAATTTTCGTGCTAGACCTCCTTATAGACAAATATATTATTGCTAAGCTACAATCAAAAGCGGCACTAGAATAGGGCGCCGGACATAAAAGGGCGCCTTTGTCGTATGTTAGTAGGCGCCGTAAATGTCTCCCCCAGGGCGCCAGTTATACTAAAACCGACACTATGTCTAATTTAGGCATTATTCTCAATCGTCACCCCACTCTGTCACCGCGTGGGGACTTTCATCCGTCCCACCTTTTGCGACAAGAGGACGGTTGGAAGTTATTTTATTCTTAACAGTTCCATCTGTCACCTTACTGGTGACAGTGTCACTAAAAGATGGAACGGATGATTTTTTTATTCTCATCTGTCCCCACGTGGGGACAGCTGGGGTGACGGTTGGGAATAATCCTAATTTAGTTTTACCTGTACCGGGTCAGGTAAGTTTATCCCTGTATCAATCATCGTCATCGAAATCGTAATTATAGCTCGGTGTGAATAAACGCTCCGGTTCTGGTGACACGAAGTTAGACGGACAGCATACTTCATCGTCGAAACATTGTCTAAAAAAAAAGATAAAATGCTTAATTCGATATTGTCCTCTCGCTCTTTTTAGAAGAAAAAGTTCAGATAACATGTTTGACACGTTTTCGCAGCTTATGTTTATGTCTATTTTAAAACATTAAGGGCTTGTCCCACCACTGGCTCATAGAAGCTCAGAGCTTAAAAATGACGTTACTGTCAGATAAGGCAACAAAATCCGATATTTCCATCAAATTTTTTAAACGTTCGATTGTTATCAGACAATTTACAATTCAGTCAGGCCTTTAGAGCGTCCACCTTTGAAACTATCGCACAACTGTTCTTTGATTCCTATGAGATTATATGAAGGTATGCATATTAGATTTTCAGTTGTGCAACGAAACAGTTGGATTGGCTGCGAAACAATCGACAATCGCACAACAGTTCGCGATAGTTTAGTCAAAGCTGTCCCGCTCTAAACTATATTAATATTTTTTATTAAACTATTACAATGCATATTTTCACTAATTTGTTTTCATGGTAATACAGATTATGGACTAAATGTAATATTTAAAAATACGAGGTATTTCCGGCTTTTAATTCGAGTTTTATAATCCATAGTCAGATTATGTAAATGTTCAGAATTGTGTAATTTATGCAATATCCTTAAAGTTTTGTTTTTATTTAAACTAAGCACCATGAAGGTTTTAATGTTTAAGGTTACTGCACACTGGTTGGTATGTCACCGTACGATTGTTTATTAAGTCAGTCATCAATGGTCGGCAAAGTGTGGGTCTGATTTACTTTCCAAGATGCATTCGCATTATTGTTTATTGAATACTATGTTCCAGTGCGACTTTTTCCGCATGAAATTATGAAAATTTTGTTTTATGGTTTACATCTGTCAAATTAGCAATTACAAATGTCAAAATGACATGACATGATGACAACCTTGCTTTCTTGATGTTGGCAGCAACTTATGGTCTCTTTCCCACATTAAGGTTTTTAACCAAAATATTTACTCCATAAGTACAATGGCGTTAAAAATTATAGCCTAAAGCGTGACGCAAGTGTAGGTCCTTTTATTAAAAAGTGAATTATTCAAAAATATACTATAATTGCTGACATCTTAGGTAACAAAGAAGTGTGTGTTTACGCTTTATTATAATAGTATAGATATAGATGGGATTTTTTAGTGTACTTATTTATTGTAATAGAAGTTTACCAAACAAGTAGATTTAGCACTCAATTTTTTTTAATTGTAATGTTTATTTTTGGCTCGAGCTGTTTGCCGATCACTGGTCTAAGGATATTGCTGTTAATCGAAATTAAAAAATTGTGCAGATTTTACTAATATCGGGTTACTTAAGAAACGAAATTGTTGACAATTTGTATCTGGCAGTCGAGAATCATTTTAAATAAATTAATACTTACTTGATATAACCATGGGGTAAGTAGAGAGTAAAATCAATGTATTGAGTCCCGTAGTCACATCGGTTTCTTCCCACGCAACTGCCGGCGTCCCCTCTAGATGTAATACACGTTTTTGATGTCGTTTCTATAAAATTCAAAAGTTTTTTTTAATAAAAATATTTTTTAGATTAGTTATGTGACGTGAATCGGAACGTGTCAAACTTTAGCTGACTCGTCCAATCAGAAGCGTAAGTAATGGCGCCAAAAAATTGTTTTTTTAAATCTAGAACGTACCGATTCTTCCTGTTGATTGTTCTGCCAGAATTGATGTTTGGCTTTGAGCTGATACTGCAACAGCCGTCAGAAAACATCTGTTAATATAAAAATAAACTTTTTAATAAAAAAACAAAACCGACTTCCAAACAAAATACACTAAAAACAAAATATTCTCAAAAAAACAGTACACTAAAAAGTAACGAAATAATTACTTGAAAATAGTAAACCTACCTTATTGTAACTGTTATGTCTATATTGTACAATTATTATTACTTTGATTACGGTGTCAGCCAAGGTATGCAGTGATATTTCTACGTAAGGGTTTCCACATTTTTACCATAACAATTGACAGTTGAAAGTATAGTAACAATTAAGTAATGAATCTACATTGACTG